GAAGAAACTACTTAACCAATCTGGATTACGCATTTCATAAACACATAACTTTTCGATCCATTTTGACGTTTTATTTATTTTAAGAGCCACTTTTTTTAAAGATTTACTTGTATAATTTGATAAAAAGTCCTACGACACCTTTTTTATAATCGTATGTGTATTCGTATATTTAAGTATCATTAACTTTTAATTTATTTTAACGTAAAATTATAGTGTTTGTTCCTACGTATTCAGCCGAGTGAAGAAATTATTAAATTAAATTTGTAAGAATATATAAAATATGTTACATTTGATGTATTTTCACTGAACAAACATATTTAAAGAAAGTCAAGTCTTTTTTTACATATAGTAGTCTCGATTATTCCACCTTCGATTGTCCAACAATTCGTTTCATCCGACATTCAAATACCCATTATTAATTTATTTAGAAAGAAGTCCTGTCATTTACAAATTTATATTATGTTAATTACTATTTTTGTTTGTGAGATTTTGTCGTTTGAAGCCTTATTGTATTTTCTTCGTAGTTCCTAAATATTTTAAACTGACTTATAAACCGAATCGATATTAACCCTAGTCGTTTTTAGTTAGTATTCTGTATTATCCGACATCTTCGATTATCCGACCGTCTTTCGATCTCGCTTAGGTCAGATTATCAAGACTGTACTCCTCCCCCAGTATTGTGAGGGTGATTAAGTCGAGAAGAATGAGATGGGCGGGACATGTAGCGCGCATGGATGGGACAAGAGGTGTGCACCGGGTATTGATTGGGAAACCTGAAGGGAAGAGACCGCTGGGGAGACCTAGACGTAGATGGGAGGATAATCTCAGGCGGGATCTATGGGAGATAGGAGATGAGGGAGACTGGATTTTGTTGGCCCAGGACAGGGTCCGGTGGAGAACTTTGGTTAATTCGGTGATGAACCTTCGGGTTCGCTAAGCCATCTGGTTGGTTGGGTCCACTATTTGGGAAGCCTGAGGGGAAGAGACCGCTGGGGAGACCTAGACGTAGATGGGAGGACAATCTCAGGCGGGATCTATGGGAAATAGGAGTTGAAGGAGACTGGATTTTGTTGGCCCAGGACGGTCCGGTGGAGGGCTTTGGTTAATTCGGTGATGAACCTTCGGGTTCGGTAAGCCATCTAGTTAGTTAGTTAGTTAGTACTGTGTTAGAGTTTACAATCGAAAATATCCAATTACAAATGGCGTTCAGTAATGTTACAATAAAGTTTGTTTGCTAACTATCGCTTGACTGGTAAACACGGTCTACAAAATGGATTTTATACGTCAGTTTAATGGAAACTGTGAACTCACTGGAAATAAATTAAATGTGAATCTAATGACGAAATCAGTTAATATTGAAATTTTCCGGATTTAAATCTTTAACCGTAACATTTGCAGTATATAATTACCAAAATCAGTGAAGTGTGTAAAATAGGAAAATTTCATATTTGAAATAGGTACACTTTTTATGGAACAGATATTTCTATTCTTAACCTAACCTGTTACGTGCCATAGCAGTGAGTGTTCTGTAACTAACTGAAGTTATGACTTGTTTTCAAGATGTCAAGAACATGACATCATTGAAGGTCCAGGGACCCTTGTGGCCAAGCTAAACTGGATATTTTGTGCCAGACAAATGTCAATAGCAGGCACGAGAGGTTTGATTGATGGACTTTCAAAATATACCAGCACTTCAGCTGTATCACATTACAAACTGTCTCTCACTGCGAAAGGTGTTATGAATCAATTCTGGCAAGAATAGATACATGGTATACTCTTTTTAAGCATCGTCTATTGTCTAGGTCAGTGATATACAAATTGTGGTTCGTGAATCTTTTGGGTTACAGAAAATTGTTCCAGGATTTTTACTGAAGAAGTGTCATATTACCGATATTTATACGTGTATTATTTCACACAAAACACGTGTACAACTACATTATTTGTTTGTTTATAAACAAATTGTATTAGGCATATTACCTTACCGTTTTTAAAAACTAGAGCTCCTCGGGGGGGTTGGTCAAGTTTTTAAAACTCAACAAACCCCTTCGGAGGGGTCGGTTGCGTCTTAAAATCTTGAGTAAGACACTAAACTAACCCCCTTTGGAGGGGGTAGTTTAGTGTCTCATTAAAGTGTTTTAACCCTTGAGTAAGAAACTAAACTAACCCCCCCGAATGGGGGGTTAAAACACTTTTTATTATCTCAAAATATTTTTTCTCTGTTTCTAAGTCTTACCTTCGAAATGAAATCTGTAGTTTGTAATTTCTGTAACTGATACAGCCACCTTTTTATCTGTGTATCATCCAAGAATTAGATTATTATATTTTGTGAAAATTTTGTATTTGCTTTTTCCGTTTGAGGTCCGGTTAGTCGAACTATCCCCCCTTTTCATTCTGCTATCGAGTCAGTAATTTTAGAAGTCAGACTGTTCCCCATTACAGCAAAGTAATCACTATCTACGACTACTGAAATTCTGTTCACACTCTGTTTAATAAATAACAAAACTGTCAACTAAGGCTACGCTTCGAGTCTGACGACAGCTGATATTTTTTCCTTAAGTCCCTGTCTCATGCTCTATTTCTGGTGCAGACGCAGGACTTAAGACAAATGCAGCATCTTCTGACAAAGAGAAGGGACACGATCTGACGACGTAATCATTAGATATCTGTCAAATGTGACTATATTAATAACAAGTTAACTTGAGTAATTTACATACACACTGACTAACCTATTTTAATCAGGCGTAAAGAAAATCTATAGCTGAATGCAGAGAGACACAGTTGTGTAATAACACATTTATCGCTCGTCGAGAAGACAATTCTTTGTCTTTATTTTGGATTAAATCTGTTAATTACATTTTATTTTAAAGAAGATTATTTTTTATTTTTTAATAGTCCCATGTGTTGAGTTCATATAATACTTGTTGATAACACAGGTCTATTATAATATTCTAATATTATACCATTTTACAAGGGTCTCTGGAATATTTCGTCTGTCATTGTGTCTTGTCTGTGTAAACATTTGGCACGAGAATCAGCAGACGTATTTTGAGCTGTAACTGTCAATTCTTTTTCAGAGTTTGTAATTAAAACCTCATTCTTAGTTTATTCAACCTTGGAAGCTGACCCAGAAGAGAGAGAGAGAGAGAGAGAGAGAGAGAGAGAGGGAGGAAGGTTAGCAAGAGAGTAAGCAAAGAGAAAATTTGTGGGGGAGAATAAGAAACACTTAATTTCTGAGGGGGGGAGGAGAGGAAGGCCCACTCTCCCTTCTGGTAGGGATAAAATAAGAGTGGGGGTGTTAGGGTGACAATTAGTGACATGTTGATAACGGACGTTGGAATTTTGATTTGCTTGTTCGTGCATAAATATTTTCGACGGAGAAAATCGTGGCCTATTTCAAGGTAAATGACTGAAATTCGCTTGAAAGTATTGACAAAAGAAATATATCCATAAAATTTCAATTATAATAGGTGGTTTGCCTAATCTGGCCTATTTAGAGGCAGTAATCTCCTAATATAATTCGGGAGATCCCGGGTTCAAAACCGGGCCCGGAGACCGATTTTCCTTACTGGGGTTTTTCGTGGATTTCCTCAGTCCGTCTAGGAAAATTCCGGGACTCTTCCTTTCAACATCATTTCCAATTTATTTTTCGCCAACAACCTTTTATTCGACGATATATGGTATGAGCTACTGAAAATCGTCGTGAAATAACTATAAATAAATAAGCAGCAAACGATTACAATGCGATGTCGTGTTTCAGAACACACATTTTGCTTGTGAAAACACAACATCTGCGCAACTTCCGTGATCAGCGGCCTAGCAATCAGGGTGACATTGGCTGCAGTGGAGTTGGGAGGGTTTTTTTTCATGGGGAGTAGACCTCCTGGTTTTGTGATTCTTACTGGGATGCGTTTTGATTGGTACATCCTGTATTTTCTTAGATTTCCTTGATTCGTAATGCCGTGTTTTTTCAATGACTAATCACTCTTTTTAAATAAATAATATAAATAAAAAACATTTCACTGGATTAGGGTCTCTGTATTTATTTTATCCTGTAAGGCAAAGAATTGGTTGTACCGCTTAAATGATACAGCTACTTGTCTTATAATACCGTCCGTTCCATCGGTCTCTGCAGACACGCGGCGAAATATAACTCGGCTTTCGGATATGGACGTCGAAACGGAACTATAATAAACACACAAGTTTATTTTCTTGAGTGTCTTCAAGTAAACTGTTTGCTATGAATCATGGGTATTACAGAATTGGAACATGAACAGAAATATGAAGTTTTAATTTTAGTCGAGTGGTAACATTTCTCATGTTTTAACCTTCAGCACATTTGGATGTAAGTTTTCTAAGCCGAAACCTGACGCTGGATATTTTGTTCTCCTCTCATTAACAAAATTTATTTTGAAGAGTCTTCGATAAAGAATATTTTGAACGAAAGAGAGACATCTGTATTCTGTTACAAGAAGTTGAACGAGAGAGAGACATCTGTATTCTGTTACAAGAACCCGAAGATTCAATATATTTTCGTCATATTTGACATGTTCTGAAACTAGTTTCTTTCACCTCTATTGTCAGAAGCAACTTTTGTAAGAACCGTCTTAATTTTATCCTCCGAAATCGTCCTCTGAGTTATAAGAAGCTATTTGCCATTAAAATTCTGTATGAATTCAAACTACATACCCAACCCATCCTAGCCTCATACAGTTAACTATTTCAGCAATAGTAAGTGATTTATATGAATCGCGAAGTCTTTTATTATACGATGCAATTATCTTTTAACTTCGCATATCCAAATATTTTTCTGTGAACATTGTTTTTAAACACTTATAATTTATATTCCTCCCTAAAACAGAAGGATTTTGTAAAATCTTTGTAATTTATGATAACAGTATTTAACTAAATAACGATTTCCAGCTTCCATTGTTTATTTAACCCCATTTGTATTTGTAAGAAAGTTCTTGCAGTTTTTCATAATTTCCTCTTTTGTCAACCAGGTTTTCAACGAATTAGAATCTCCGGCAGAAGTGTCGTTGCTGAAAGATTTGCAGATTAGTGTCCTCAAGGAGCGGCAATTTTTGATACACACTATACTTAACCACACTATCTTAAATTCGGAATATGATCACAGTGACCGGTTACGTAACCTGACTTCATTAGTATCTCATAAGTTGAGTGACTATGAAAAAGTCGTCCAGGAGGCCGTGAGAGGTGGAGTCTCACTGCCACAAGATCCTAATAATCCAGCACCACAGCCGACTAGATGGAACTTCCTTCAGGCTGTATTCTTTGCCTCAACCGTACTCACAACTATTGGTAAGTATGCTGTCCAGAGATGTATGAACGTAGAGATAAAAGAAACAGATTTCTTACATCTTAACTCTATGAATATCCATGTCTTTAATCTCTTGTTAACCTACATTTGACCTAACCTATTCTGTATCTGGTTTTTAAAGGAGTCAGTAACACGAGATAAAGAAAACTTATGAATGAGTAACTTCATGATTTATAGGCGTCGCCAAATATTATCCCAGTCACCTCTTGATTAAAATAAAACTTAACAAAAATGTGGCCAACTGCTCTTTTAAAATATTCCATGTATTAAAATGGCTTCATAACCTCAATGAATCAGCATCAGAAGAAGGGAATTTTGATGTCGTGTTTTTATCTTTAATAATTATGCATTTGGGAGCCATCTATGAACAGACGGGATGACATACAGCACAAACATGGACGAACGCATACAGGAAACAAAGCCTGCCCCAAATTATAAGATTTTAAGGTTATATACATGTCTGTAAACTTAGTTAAATGATTTAGTTAGGTTATCAGGATCATCAAAGCATGAAGAATGAAACTGGCGAGGCATGTAACACACGTGGGAAATGGAAGGATAATATTAAAATTGTTAAAAAGATTTGAGGTTGTAGGCCGAATGCACCTAGTTAAGGTAACGACAGGTGATAGGCTCTGTTTAACATACTGATGTGTCGTCACATTTCATAAAAGGCGGAGAATTTCTTGATTACCCAAGCCACTACAAGGTTCTTAAAAAGTCTCCGATGCATGGAGCATAGATAATATTATCTAAGGTGATTCATAATCAACCACTCTGTTGTAGCAAACCTTTTGAATAAATAGTAGTTTAAGTAACAATAACCAATGAGGATTTTATTACAAGATACAAGATAAATACTGAATATAATAAAGAGTTATATTTGTTTATGTAATTTAATGGTATGGGCGGAGCATGAGACACAAAGGGAAGGAAAACTCAGAAGAATTAGGCATTGATTGGAGGATAATATTAAAATGGATTTCATACAAAAAGAATCGGAACGTGTTTGCTGGATTCAACTGGCTTACGATAGGAGACAGTTGTGTAATTTTGTGAACACGGTAACGAACGTTAAGTTTTCATAAAAGGGAGGGTTTATTGACCAGCTTAGTGATGTCAGTCTCTTAAAAAGAGTTTTAGTCCATGGAGTTAGTTTGCTAGTTAGTTATTTAGTTTAATCATCTGTACTCCTCCCCCAGTATTGTCAGGGTCATTAAGTCGAGAAGAATGAGATGGGCTGGGCATGTAGCGAGCATGGATGGGACAAGAGGTGTGCACCGGGAATTGGTTGGGAAGCCTGAGGGGAAGAGACCGCTGGGGAGACGTAGACGTAGATGGGAGGATAATATCAGGCGGGATCTATGGGAGATAGAAGTTGAAGGAGACTGGATTTTGTTGGCCCAGGACATTGTTCGGTGGAGGGCTTTGGTTAATTCGGTGATGAACCTTCGGGTTCGGTAAGCCATCTAGTTAGTTAGTTAGTATTCCGAAAAATCAGGATGAATCCACTGACAAAATACAACCGAAAAATGAAACAAGCATGTTCTTCCAATTATATCTGTATGTTTACGAAATAAATTAATATAATACTAAAACTATTATCTGATAACACGTTTCTATAATAGTGTAAGTGTGATGACTTGTGAGGTTTGAAATAAGAACTATTTGTGATCCGTATAAATTCTTTCAAAAGTTTAGTTCATCTTTTGCCAAATAGCATGAATTCGTTTTTACAAGGAAAATATGACAATCAAAAGGTGTTTTACATTTCTTTTGATTTTACCCTTACTAACGAATTGCTTAATATTCACCAAATTCACAAGAAATTGTAAGGAAAGTCTAGGGGCTTCAAAGTTGCTGAAAAATCAAGATTCCTTTCGGCTAAGTCCTGAATCTAAAATGACACGAAGCTGAATTATAAATAGCCCTAAATATATTTATATTATTCAATTTTATCCTTTACGTATCCTGGCTTTACGTCTTATTTCTGAACTCCACAGAACATTCATGGTTTATTGCTTCAGTCTTAATTTAAAACCAACAAACAATGAAACAGATTTCGCCATGTAACATGAAATCGCAGCTCGCAGCTTTTCATAAATCATACGAATTCTGTTTGCTAGGGCGTCAGAAGTATGCAGACGTATACATCGTGCTCTGTCTGATGCTAGTTGAGAGCAGTAACAAACAGGCGAAGGTCTATTCGAAAATTACCCAACTGCCCATATGGTTAGGATTTCAGGTTGTCACAGCGGTGAGTCTGAAGATTCCTGTCTTCTGGGTTCTTGCGCTGTGTAGTCTCATAGAAGTTTACTGACGTTTCAGAGGTCATACTGCCTCTGTCATCAGGGCGATGAAGATTTCTGTCTTCTGGGTTATTGCGCTGTGTAGTCTCATAGAAGTTTACTGACGTTTCAGAGGTCATACTGCCTCTGTCATCAGGGCGATGAAGATTTCTGTCTTCTGGGTTATTGCGCTGTGTAGTCTCATAGAAGTTTACTGACGTTTCAGAGGTCATACTGCCTCTGTCATCAGGGCGATGAAGATTTCTGTCTTCTGGGTTATTGCGCTGTGTAGTCTCATAGAAGTTTACTGACGTTTCAGAGGTCATACTGCCTCTGTCATCAGGGCGATGAAGATTTCTGTCTTCTGGGTTATTGCGCTGTGTAGTCTCATAGAAGTTTACTGACGTTTCAGAGGTCATACTGCCTCTGTCATCAGGGCGATGAAGATTTCTGTCTTCTGGGTTATTGCGCTGTGTAGTCTCATAGAAGTTTACTGACGTTTCAGAGGTCATACTGCCTCTGTCATCAGGGCGATGAAGATTTCTGTCTTCTGGGTTATTGCGCTGTGTAGTCTCATAGAAGTTTACTGACGTTTCAGAGGTCATACTGCCTCTGTCATCAGGGCGATGAAGATTTCTGTCTTCTGGGTTATTGCGCTGTGTAGTCTCATAGAAGTTTACTGACGTTTCAGAGGTCATACTGCCTCTGTCATCAGGGCGATGAAGATTTCTGTCTTCTGGGTTATTGCGCTGTGTAGTCTCATAGAAGTTTACTGACGTTTCAGAGGTCATACTGCCTCTGTCATCAGGGCGATGAAGATTTCTGTCTTCTGGGTTATTGCGCTGTGTAGTCTCATAGAAGTTTACTGACGTTTCAGAGGTCATACTGCCTCTGTCATCAGGGCGATGAAGATTTCTGTCTTCTGGGTTATTGCGCTGTGTAGTCTCATAGAAGTTTACTGACGTTTCAGAGGTCATACTGCCTCTGTCATCAGGGCGATGAAGATTTCTGTCTTCTGGGTTATTGCGCTGTGTAGTCTCATAGAAGTTTACTGACGTTTCAGAGGTCATACTGCCTCTGTCATCAGGGCGATGAAGATTTCTGTCTTCTGGGTTATTGCGCTGTGTAGTCTCATAGAAGTTTACTGACGTTTCAGAGGTCATACTGCCTCTGTCATCAGGGCGATGAAGATTTCTGTCTTCTGGGTTATTGCGCTGTGTAGTCTCATAGAAGTTTACTGACGTTTCAGAGGTCATACTGCCTCTGTCATCAGGGCGATGAAGATTTCTGTCTTCTGGGTTATTGCGCTGTGTAGTCTCATAGAAGTTTACTGACGTTTCAGAGGTCATACTGCCTCTGTCATCAGGGCGATGAAGATTTCTGTCTTCTGGGTTATTGCGCTGTGTAGTCTCATAGAAGTTTACTGACGTTTCAGAGGTCATACTGCCTCTGTCATCAGGGCGATGAAGATTTCTGTCTTCTGGGTTATTGCGCTGTGTAGTCTCATAGAAGTTTACTGACGTTTCAGAGGTCATACTGCCTCTGTCATCAGGGCGATGAAGATTTCTGTCTTCTGGGTTATTGCGCTGTGTAGTCTCATAGAAGTTTACTGACGTTTCCGAGGTCATACTGCCTCTGAGCCCTCAAAACTAAACAATTAACCAAGAAACTAATTCCATGGAGTATAACTCTTTCTGAGAGACTGATACCACTCAGCTAATCAAGAAATTATCAGCCTTTTATGGAAATCATGGGTTCGTAATCGTAAAGTTTCCCAGAGACCGGCTATCCTGACTGGTGATTGTTATGGTTTTACTAAGTCCTCCATGAAATGCTGTGGTAATACCTTAAAGTAGGTCACGGCCGCTTTCTTCCAAATCCTTTTAAATTCATTATTCATTATCATCCTCTCATTCGACGCATTATAGTCTGAGCGACTGAAACAGTGTCGTTAAATAAAGTATGTATATCTTATGGCAATGTTTTTGAAACGTAATAGCCAATTCTTGTTGTCATTCCTATATATTAAAAAATAACAAATTGTCATAATATGTACTAAAATATAAATTTTACTAAATGTGTAACAAATTACTGTGGAATTAAGCTTACATGTTATTTTAAATTACTCTTGCAACAGATTATGGCATAATTTTTACCTGGAAAAATATTTGATGGTACTTTAAAGCCAATAGATTTTGTGACACTTGTACGTAATGAAACAGGCAACATTTGAAAAGCAATTTATTTTCCATAGGGATAACCAAGCTTGTAGGAGCTAGTAACTAATTATAAATATTTCGCTGGCTTCGTTGTAAGTGATGTCGATCCCTGTGACCAGCGGGTCACCAGTTCGATCACGCTAGTTTAAACTCTTCTTCAATAAGACTTGCTTTCGACTTTGAGAGGTAATTAAAATTTTTACAAATTATTAAAGTATCCTAAGATAAAAGTATTAATTAGCTTTTGGATATCCGATGGCAGAAATGTTATATACGAAGGAAAATATGACTATTTTAACCCCTTAAAGCCGGAAGTCACTTAAATACTATTTATTAATTCGGTCCGTACCACATAGAAACAATATATTTCATTATTACAAATATAAAATTGTTAACGCCGTTTAAGAAAATAATCTCTGTCTACACCGAAAATGATATAAATACAATAAAAATTCTGTTTTGTTACTTGTTAAAGAAGTTGGGACATCTTTTGACACTAGGTTTTAAAGTGCTAAGAGGGTGTCAGATACGATTTTATCATAGGAAATTATGAAGCTTGTATCGCTACATTTAGTGTTCTTTCGGTAATAAAAAGGGGGCCGAGTTGAAAGGTTACTTCAGAACTGATATATTTTACGACCATATGGCTGGATTCTGGCATCTTCATGTACTGGTAACATATATAAGTTAGCGGCAACACCAATGCTCAACGACGGCTTCCAAAAACAACAATTCTATCATCACAGGACACGCCAGGCCTCTCGCTGTTTCTACAGTAAAATAATAAGCTCAAGTACACTTGTACCAGTCTTATTTATTTGGTTTAATAATAAAAGAGTGAAACGCGAAAGAAAATCTGCGTCTGTTATTTGCATCAACTACAGAATCTGACGTTTCTTTGTCGTTGAAAATAAATCGACTTAATAACTACAGAATCTGACGTTTTTTTGTCGTTGAAAATAAATCGACTTAATTTTGATTCAACAGTCGCGCTTTTAGACATCGATATTAATAAGGATGTCCTGTGACGAGAATAGTCGAGTCCGGTGGCGTCGTACATCAATCGAATCGATAATTTGTAAAATCGACTTTTATTGAGAATGCAGTTACTGCTCCCGTGGCAATCACCAAGAGAAAATTAATCTTTTTCCATTCTGCACGTGTTCAGCCCCATTTATCTTCTGGTTCCCTGTAAAACTAAATGAATCTGGGACTGATGTTATTATACTACTGGGGTTTGTTTAGGATTTGACCATAAACAAATCACTTAAACCCACAAGAAGTTAAATAGGCCACCCTAGCATTGGCAAAAAGGCAAAAACCACATGAGTCATGCAGTGGCCCTTCGGTATTATGTAGATACTTCTAAAACAACACAAGTCCAAAAAGTAATTTCAGCGTATAACGCTAGATGAAAAATTAGTTACTTGCAAATTGTTGTTGATGGTAAAGGTAAATTGAAAAATAGGTAATGTATATGATAGCACGTATCATTCGATTTTATCGAAACTTTTCTTTTGTGGGATTGCTTAGTTTCACAAATGAATAGTTTAATTTAAAAAAACTTTTCCCTTATTCAAAGAGGAGAAATACACATTTGGTTTGTGTTTTACGTAGCATTCATTAAGAATCTTGCAGGTGAAGATAAGTGCCTTTTAATTCAATAAATGTCAATAAATTCTTTGAAAAACTTAGCGACTATTTGTTTCTCAGAAATGACTGTGTTCGTTTGTGATTTGTACCTAGCGTTAGGTTATCTTCTTTTGTCTCGCAGGTTACGGTAACATTGTACCGGCGACGTTCTCGGGACGTGTGTTCTGCATTGTGTTCGCGCTGGTGGGGATTCCCCTGACGCTGAGCGTCATAGCGTCGATGGGCCATATCTTCGCGACTGCCGTGTCGTCCCTGTACGCACGCGTGAGAAAGCATCTGCCACCCGCTCCTGGCATCCTAACGCGCGTCAGCATTGCAGCTCGTCGTTCGCTGATGGCCGTCGCCGCCATCCTATTCCTCTTCCTGTACCTGGCTGCAGGTGCGGGTCTCTTCATGCTCTGGGAAGAAGACTGGACCTTTTTCGAAGGCTTCTACTTCTGTTTCGTCACCATGACTACCATTGGCTTTGGTGACCTCGTCCCAAGTACGTGGCCGGATTAGTGCTTGGCAGATACGTTGTATCAACTGCTAAGTTTTATGCCCTCTAATGCAGTCGTCACAACATTTCGTTGTTCAAGGTCACAGAAGAATTTTACAACTTTGAAACATGAACTACGCAGAACAGGAGAGTAAAGACAATTCAGAACTCGCAGTGTAGTAAATCTAGATATGTTGTACCCTAAAAAGGGGAACAAGTCTTTACGTGACCTTGAAACATGCAATTTGGTGAAGGATTCTTTAGAAATACACGCAAAATATTAGGATATTGCGGTTACAGTACTCAATTCATCTGTGAGACTTTGAATATTTGTCATACACGTCTTAGAATGCTATAAATTAAAATGTGAAACATAAAATTTTATGTAATTGTAACACTTTGTCTCGGATTTTGGGGGAGGGTTATATGAGGGAACACTAAAAGGGACTAAGTAAAATAATTAAGATCTTCGCACTTTGTACTCCTTATTCGTTAATTTAAAAATAAATTGAAATGGGTTGGCCATGTAACACGCGCAATTTGTAAGAACCCCAGAAGGTAAGATTAAAATTAATTTAATAGATGGTAAATGTTTGAACTGTAGTCTGAATGTATGATTTAAAGCTTTAAAGACAATTAAGAAAGAATCTTAGGTTTTTGGTCCAGCAAGTATTAACCTTCTTTCCATAGTTCATATTAGAAAAAGCCCTCATTCATTTGTATAAATGACTGTTATTTAGAATATAATTATCCATTACTTCTTAGTTAAACGAGTAGTTATCCAAGAAATATGGAGTGGTATGAAGACATATAACTGCTTTCCCTATTAAAATAAATTTTTAGACTTTAGTGGCTCGTCAACAATATATTTTAAATGTTTTTAATTAATTTCAAACTTGTTCCGTGTGATGAAAATATTCTTGGTTTTCTTCATGTGCTAAAGAATTATATAACTTCTGAAAAACAAATGGTGAATCTTGCGGCCAGAAAACTGCGATTTGAAATATTTAATATTGGTTCAGATAGTCTTTCCGTCAGAATGTTTAATGTCGAACACTATTGAACACGTATTGATAACATTTTGTATTTGTGTCTGCAGTGAAAGTAAATTGAATTTGATATATATCGGTCCAATTTACATGAAACTTAAATATAATTTTCTTTCATTTTCAGAAATATCTCGTCGTACAAAAAAAAACATTATGTTACCTTAAATAGAAATTTTCGAACCAAGGTCCGTCGACACTTTTCGTACGGTCCGTGTACATTTTTTTAATACGTGTCATTCTAGTAACCTACTCATCCTGTTAAGAGATTGTATTGTGTTTTCTTTGAGGTAAGATCTAAACTTGACGTCGGGTTTCAAAGTGTTAATGATGTCAGTTTGATGAGCATTAAGTTAAAATGTTTGCAACAGTAGGAATAATTTAACAGAATTTTGAATAAACTGCAGAGAATATTCGTTATGTTGTAATTTATAAAGTTGCAGCCTGAGAGTCGATAAGAATCGGAAGATATGACTAACAGTCGAAAGTAGAAAAGTGGAAATTTTGAAAACTCTTATCTTTAAATACAGTTGCCATTAATATCTACCACTTCTATTTCAAATACTTTCGGACATGGTGAAAAATTTCGAAAATTTCGTTGGTCTTATACATTATTTTGTGTAGTGTGACTGGTTTTAAAAAAGTGGGTTTGTGTTTATAAAACTATATTCTTTATTCGCAATCAACATCAATTAAATTTTATGGGTGTACGTATCCACATTTATCCAACTTCCGTGCAAATTAAATTGAGGATGAATTAACTGAAAAAGAGGTGATCAGTGGAAGTAGTTATATTTATTATGGATAGGGGCGCATGAAATAGAAATTACAATGTGGAGATCCCAGGGCAGCGTCTGCTCATCCTTCTACAGTGAGAATATTTGGCAGCTGTGCCGCTACGATAAGTAAATGCGGCAGTCGACTCAGTGATTGCGGATATTGGAAAGACCGTGCCACCGGCACAGTCGTCAAATATTCTCATTGTAAAAATTTGAATTGTGATTAATTCTTCAAGTTTCAGGAGTAAAATCGAGGAGGTTCTTTAACGATATAATATAAATTATTTTCTTACATTGCAGAGAAGCCTAAATACATGCTGTTGTGCACGTTGTATATCCTAGTGGGCCTAGCCCTCACTTCCACCATCATAGAGCTGGTTCGGCGACAGTATGCGCAATCATGGCGACAGCTCCAGGCATTGTCAGGTCCTTTGGCCGACACCCTGAGGCGACTGGGAGAAAGTGCAGGGGGCGGTATTGACGTAGCTGCACTACACAGGATGCTAACAATAGTCAGCGTTCCACGGCGCATACAGGTAGAAACTATGAATATGTTAATGTACCGTAGTTCTGTCTTGTGACGCTGTGAACTTATATGTTTATGTGCGGTTTATTAATAATAGAAAATTTGTAAAAAATGTCTTGAAACCGATTAAAAAAATGTTATATTAACATAGACGTTACTCATGAGCCACGGTGGTCTAGCGGTTAGAACGCTGGCCTTGTAATCCTGGGGTCTCGGGTTCTATTCCCGGTGGTGCCCGAATTTATAACTTGTGTTGGGCAAGGCCGTGGTCTAGGCAACATGGAGTTTTCCTCCGTGGCATCCCAACAATTACTCCATTCACACACAGAAGAAGGCAATGGCAAACCACTTCTGGATCATCTGCCAAGAACGTATATGAACAGGTCCCAGTCCGAGAAAAGGATGGAAGGATCCTGTCGTCAGACAGAACACTAATAATAATAAGACGTAACTCAAGTCAGGAGAGTTAGAAAAAAAAATATTGAAGTAAAAGCTTCAAAATTGTAATCACATTGCTACAATAGTTGAATTAATGGCATTGTCTCCATACAGTGTTATATCTGTTGAATAATTATCTTCGCAATAATATTTTTGTATAGCCAATACATGAATTTCAAAGATAATTGGCTTTGTGGTAAAATTTTCTTTTAGTGTCATGTTTCCATAAAAAATTATATACTTGTATCGTATTTCCTAAAACAAATTTCTATTTGTGCCGTGTGTCATGGATAAATTTTTCACTTTTAATATATTTCCCGCTCGTTGTGTGTTTTCTGTGTCCACAGTCTGGCGAGTCAGGAGCCAAGGCACGCCGACAGTGGGAAGAAGCCATGGCAGCCATGATACGGGACATCGCGGCGAGCCCAAAACAGCCACCGAAGGTCGTCCAAATCGTCATATACGAGTCCTCGGTTTGACTCCCTTTGAGAGCCTCATATGCCATTATGTTTATTCTCACACAATGAAGTTTCCCGCCTGCAAACACAGAATGGACTAATCGTATATGATCCATTGATTTTTACCATCCGAAATTAAGTTGGTTCGTGGTTATGAAATGTCTTGTAGGTAATTATGTGTCGCATCGGAATTAATCAACATTGTCAGTGTAAAACAGACTACAAAATGTAAATTAAGTGACAGGGCTATTATCATATGCTTGTTACTTAGCTGTAAATAATAAAATAAATAATAAAATATGCTGTCTTTTTTATTCTTGGTACTACTAACTGCAATTTTTCTTAGTTACATATTAATATTTATTCAATTAGTACAAAGGTAAGCTAAACTTATGACTGTAACTGTCATCTGATATTAAATATTTATAAAATTACATCCGTATTCCAACAAATGTTCGTTGTATTTTATAAAGAATGGAAAGTAATAATTTTCTGATAAAGTAGTTAGCCTTGAACTGGCGTAAAAAGTCTCTAGTCGCGTATTCAACAACTAGACAATCCACATATAAATTTAGTTTTTCCACATAAATTTCTTTCTGAAATTTTTGTTTCAATTCATGGCATTCTTTACTCGTCAGCTTAATAAACAAAATCGATTGTCCTCAGGGTTGTCGCCATAAAGTCTGGTAAAAGTTTAGCAATTTCTCAGAGGTCATTGCTACCTCCGTCATACGTTGGTAAATCACCCAAGCAGGTAGCCAGTCAATCAACCGGTTTCTTAAGCATTAGCTCGTATATCCAGTACGAGGTGCGATCGCAAAGTTTCAAGACTGCGCGTATAAAAACAAGTACACTTATCTCAGGTATTAAATTCATCCATCACCCTTGAAGTAGTTCCCCTGGGAGTGAACACAACGATCCCAGCGCCGCTGCCAAGCCTGGAAGCATCCCTGGAAATCTTTCTTTGTCAGCCTGTCAAGCACCATCTGCGATTCTGCCTGAGATAAGTGTACGGGTTTTTATACGCGCAGTCTTGAAACTTTCCGATCGCACCTCGTACTTCTAGCGATGAAAATTAAAAGTGAGTAATCTCGACAAGAAGTGTATTACATAACGTAAGTCTTCAGAGAAAGAAATCTTATTCTGTAACTAGAATTAAGATTTCAGATGGTTAATTTTCTAAGCAGATCTCTTTGAAGTCGAGGAAAAATTCGAAAGGAAACACGAAAGTGATGATGGAAACAGAGTATTGACAGTTTACATTTCTTCTCGTGCATGAAGTTTTATAAGCAATCCACATCCTTCAATGCCGGGATCAAGCCAAAAATTTGGGACCGCCAAGACCTTTACCAATACCTCTTTTTCAAGAAAACATATTTGTTAGTTCATTTTCCTTAATATTTGTTTGTTTTCTAAGGACCCTCAGTGATTCATAACAAAACAAACCGAAGTTCTTTTCAAGAATCACTGAAGCACTTATATGATATGACGGGATCTGTCATTTCAAAAATGGAACCAAATGTTAATTCTCTTGCGGAACAAAGACAGGTCGAAATTTAATATAAATCAGGTAAGTCTAGGTTAGGCGATTATTAATGAATTAGAATTATATAACAAGAATTACATTAACATGTCGCATTTGGCTGGGGGGACTGAGAAAACCCACGTAAATCTCTTACAGTATAGCCGGATGTTCGAGTCGAGATTTGAAACTGTGGTCTCCCGGATACGACCTTGACATTCAATAGGCCTGTGTGTCTGTAATGTATGAAATACAAAACTACTATTACCATTACAAAAATTTAATCTTAAATTAACAAACATTGGGTTAAATTCTACAATTACGGAAATCTGATGGCTCTAAGAACAAGGAATAGGATAAATTTTTATCAAGAAAATAAGGCTTGAGGGTCTACACCAGATTCTAATAACCCTGAACAGGTTTACACACTAACAATTAATCATCCACCATTCCCATTTGACGATACATGACTTGTTTATTTCAATAAGCGTCGGTAAGAAACTTAACTACTATACCGGCCTACCTTTACAAGCAGCTGCTTCATATATTGACATCTTCATCTACTGGGTTTTTGTTGTTTTTGGTACAGCCTTGCATTTCATATTACATTACAGACCCGATGATCATAAATTCGAAGCATTGACGCTTTATCTGAGGTGCCATGCATACAGCCATTATAAATTTATTAAAAAATAAATTATTTTAATTAAAAATTTACATTATGTGAAATATTTTTGTTTGTAAGACTCATTTAATGCAGTATTTTACTTATATCTTAATTTAATAATATCCTAAATTGAGTTAAAAACTAATTCGATATTTACCATCGTCCATTTTATTAGTATTCCGAAATTATCCGACATTTAATATTATCCGACCTACTTTCGGTCCGTTTTGGACAGCTAATCGAGACTGTACTTTGCATTAGCCCTTGGTTATTTCTGTTGACAAATTTATTTATATTTGTGCACAGTGGACTCAGCAAATACAGTCTTTACAGAGCGTATATAAAAGAAACTAAAATATATTTTAATTTTCTTGAACGATAATTTTTACTACTATTTTATATAATTTAATTGCATAATTATACAATTCCGCTTGGTATTAAACGCCTCCAATATTGTCTAAAAGACGTAAATAATTCTTGAGTTGACAAATAACATATTTTGAAACTCACTGTTAGTAATTTGCCTAATATGGTAATTCTTAGAAAGTGAAATGCGATTGGCTGATTGAATGCTTTCCTTAAACCCCCCCCCCCCTCTCCTGCCGAGGTATTAAAAAGGCATTCATGTTAGGGGATGCCTGGTATTATACGACGAAAGGTGTACGGAAGTTAATCTGTTTGAAGTGGTCTTTGTAGGTTTGTAAGGTAATATTACTTGGTAGTAAATTGTTACATTATAAGGACCCACATATTATTTTAGTACTGATAACAACTGGAATTCGTATCTTGTGTTACGAATTCAGAAAATAATTTACATATCTGTAATTAATTTTCTTAATCTCTGCATTATTATTATATATTAAATAACATGTTAGGTGGTCTGTTTGTAAATTTGTATGCAGATTTAATTTATTAACAGTCATATTAGTAATATTTATTATAACGTACAAAAATATTAATTTGAAATATCCTTTAAAGTTATAACTTTTCGATTCACGACAAGTTCTATTTCAGAATGTTAGAATTCACTATGGAGTGTACTTGAAATTTTGTCTAAACGTACGAAGTTTTAAAGTATTTTCACAGCGGTCAAATTGTCCTGTTATGGTCTCGTTTGTTTTGGAGCCGTATAGTCTTCTAAGTGGGATCCGGCGTTTCGAAAGATCTCTTCCTGCGTCCTGATAAATTCCAATTAAACATTGCTTTCCATTTACAGGATTACGCGGAACCATATTTAAATACTTCCAAAGTTTTCATGATTCACGCCAGTAACACCTAAAATTCTTAATCTTGTTTCCTGTTGGATATCAAATTGCAACCCCAGTAAGAACTATATATATCACCTACTTTAACAGTAACCGTTCAAATTGTGTTTACAAATTTCGTATTATTCTCAATGTAAACAGGGATTATTTCCTTGAAGAGCATTAACATGTTAATATTTATAATGACGACTTTTTATTTGGTACTGAATGAATTCATAAATATTTAGACCAGCTTCGGTGCTGAAGGGTTAATATTAAATAAAATTTTAAATTTATATACTTTATCTATTATAGTAGTAACTGAAAGAATGGTCTGTACAGTAGATTCCGGTTTATAGGGCCATCGGTTAATCGGGGAAGCCGTTTGTTTGGTACAAATCTTAAAGAACAAACCTTTTTCAACTCTTTACGTGGAACTTCGCTTAATTTGGTCAAAGTATTCTAGTCCCGACGTGTCCCATTTAATCGGAATCCACTATATTTGTATACGGCTTTGGAATACTTTTCTACATTCCAGTATAGTTTTATTATCTTACTGGTAATGACATATTTGTAGAAATTTTTTATGTGATATTTTAAAATTATAATATTGTCTGACACCACAATTGGTGAATTATCTAAAAATTCTTAAATATTTGTTTTGCAGTCTTACTGCATCGTACGAATGTGAAACTAGTCCATTACTATGAGTTCGCGAAGAGGATATTGCAAAAATATTTTTACCATAAGAGAAAATTAATTGAATTAAAAAGTCAATTGAATAAAAAAAAATTACTTGGATATTATCCATCGTCTAGTAATAAAACGTAAAAAACGTAAAACGACGTTTCGGAGATGGGGCTCTATCTCCGTCTTCAGGTTCCTACTCAGTTGGGCCCACTAGATAGAGCTAATCCCTATCTCCGGACAAATTAAAAAGTTTTATTACTAGACGATGGATAATATCCAAGTAAAAAAATTTTATTCAATTGACTCTTCACCATCGTCAAGAAGTTTTAGATTTGATGAATTAAAAAGAATAGTGAAAAACGTTAACTTAATTAACTTGGCTCAGTGCAAACACGAGACGTTTCGGGTTCCATAAGAAGAGTAATTTCTTGAGCTGAGCGACTGTTTCTCGAGGACTGTGCCGTACGGAGTTGTAAAAGCATTTCACTCTAGATAGCTGGAGATCGGCAGAGGCAAACGCTTCTAATATTTATTCAAATGTTAATATTTGTTCTTTCGAATCTTCCATGATTGAAACTAATAGACTATGCAACTCGGCAATGCTCCACAATTTTTATGTTTCCAATGTTTAATTTGATTTTGTTAGTTTAGACTCTAAAATTTCTTGACATAAATACCTCTTATTCACGTGTAGAGTTTGCTGTTTTATGTATAGAGAGAGACTTGTTTTCAGATACCTGGTCATGAATTCATAACTTTATCGAATTTATAACTTGTGTTGAGCAAGGCCGTGGTCTAGGCATCACGGAGTTTTCCTCCGTGGCATCCCAACAAATACTCCATTCACACACAGAAGAAGGCAATGGCAAACCACTTCTGGATCATCTGCCAAGAACGTATATGAACAGGTCCCAGTCCGAGAAGAGAAAAGGATGGAAGGATCCTGTTCATATAGACCTGTCGTCAGACAGAACACTAAATAAAAAATAATAAATATATAAGACAACTAAACAATTGTTATATTAGTTCGTTGTGGATCTGATATCATTTAAACCAATTAATTACAATTAATGGAAATATTTTTCATTTTTAACTTCAAATTTATCCGGATGTTGTAATTCACCTTCAGTAATAACATTACTACAAAACAAGTTAAGTATCAACAGAATTATGATTTTAATTTAACTTCGTGACACATCCGATAATTTTTAAAAATTTAAATGACATACTAATCAACTGACCATTGTAATTTAACTAAACTTCGTAACAATTACATTAAAATCATTAAGAGTTTTAAGAGTAGAATTTTCAAATACGCCCTTCAAACTAAATCCGTAGCTTTGAATTACCACTGACTCCACATGATTGACTGGGATTCGTTGTGCGTGAAAGCAATATAAAACCAAAAAATCATATTTCTTCAGTACTTAAAATATTTTAATTACATAACTAATGCAGATTGGATGGAATGATAAAAAAAGCCAATTTTTATTTCAGATTTTTTAACACGTTTTGAGCAGTTAATCATGGTATTATTTATTGCCCATCAAGCCGCAGCTATGAGTCAGGCTAAAATACGACTGACAAACGTATCTCCCATAGAAGAAAAACAGGAAGATTTAGAAGGAGACTCTCGTCCTGACGACATATTTCCAATCCGCATGGCGTCCGTAGTTAGAGTTTCGAAGTTACCAGTCATTGAACAGACGTCTAATATCGCTGTTAATGTGTATAAGAAAGTTAAGGTAAGTCCCCTCACTGTAAATTTTCATATAATTCTTAGAGTGGACAGTGACAAAGATTAAGACATAATTAGTTTATTTTTTTAAATTATAATAACTGTACAATAAAGCTCACATAGACCTGGGGTTTCTTAAAATGTATCTACATGACGTACCACCGGCTATATTTTTTTTAGTAAAAGATTAATGTATTTGCATAAATATAAACCTTCTTGATCGTAAACTGACATAAATTTGAATTTAGCCCAACAATATAAAAACACTTAACAGCAAGGAATTTGAATTTGCTAGTAAATTTCCAAATATGTTACGTCATTGTATTTCGGACAAGTCACAGTTAACTTTTCCAATATATTTCAAAGGTAACAGCTTTCTGAACACAAACGACAGCGAACTATCTGTATTTACAATTTTTGAACAGTATTAAACTTTCCTAGTATAAATAAATTGTACGAAATATCGCAAATTGTCTTCTTGGGTTGTGAAAGTGTAGTCTCACAGATGGTTACAAATATTGGACCATACTGCCTACATCATTAAGGTAAACAAATTTCATTTAAACCCTAAAGATGGACGAAATATGTTCATTACAAAGGATGGCATAACCCAGAATGAAATCTAAACTCTGCCATAAAAGTATAAAATTTTAAACATTTTTATAAGTTTTTTAAGTGATGTTTTCTATGGCATAAATTTACCTTATCTTCAGATAATTAATGATTTAACGTGTAGTTCTTAACGTTAACTTTCCACAAACACTGCTTTTCCAGAAATCAAATTGTGTTTTCAACTGGTCTTTGAAGAAGGCAGAAAGTACAGTGTCGAAGGCCGTGAAGTCCACAGAGCCTGTGGTGTTAAGACTTCGGACACCAATTACGAAAGTGGATGGACTTCTGTGTGTTGGCTTAGACTACATAGAGGCGAAGGTCCCAGGAATTAAATTACCAGCACATGAGGTATAGATATTTTTAGATGCAGAGTTGTTTGTTTGTTTGTTTGTTTGTTTGTCATCAGTCTTCCGACTGGTTTGATGTGGTCCTCCATTTTCGCCAACATCTTAATTTCTACATATATTTTGCAGCCCACATCCCCAAAACTCTGTGTCACATATTCCAATCTTTGTCTCACCCTACAATGCAGAATAAAATACACAAAGCTTCATATAAACTAAATATGTCTGTCTTATGGAATGTTACGTCGTGTAACCTGGTAAATTGATCGACATATGGGGTACAATTTATTGTCCAAGAAATTAGAAGTTAGTTAGCATGGTTTAAGATTAATATTTCTCGGGAAAAAATGGATAGAAAATTTTCTGGTAGAAAATGACTTATAATTAAGATATAGCTTATAAAAGCAATGAATTATATTAATGCTATGAAATTAAATAAATATAGCTAAATAATTGTATGAATAAGATGACTGATTTGAGGTTCTCATGGCGGTGAATAAGAAGATGGTTTCTTCTGGTTGTAGTTAACAAATCGCCCTACTTTTCGAGGCACCAAAGACTTCTGTAACGTTGGCAAACTTCTAACAGACTAGACGGATTTGCAATCCAGAAGATAATCATATTCAAATCATATGTTGGATAAATAATAGAATAATATGTACAATTGAAATCATAGATTGTTTTAAGAATGAACATTTTATAGTAAGAAAATAACTCCAGTAGAGATGGTTATATTTTGTCTGTAACACGAAAAAATTCTGGTGTTAGTCAAACACAATCTAAATAACTTAATAAATTACGTAGTTTATATTTTTTTTAAAAAACTTGTAATTTTTTCCTAAACAAATTGATTAATTTTGTCGATTATTAGTCAATGTACTAGGGTAATAGTGTGTATCTTATCCGACTGATTTGTGTCTTACAGATGTATGCTAACGCGAAACAATTCGTTACGGATTGTGCTCAGCCATGTGTGAATTGTGCCGGTGCTGTAAAGGGGCTTGGAGTCCGGACGTTGGTGGCACTAAGACGTTGCGTCTGTGGACGAGGTCAGTACGGAGATTACGACGGGCAAGACGGTAAGTCCAGAGTTGAGATTGGATATTGCACGCAAAGTAATGCCATAAGTTGGCCAATGTTTTGAATTTAAATTTTTTAAAATACAGTATTAACCCCACTTCAAGAGTCCGTTACTGAAAATTTTTAATGACTGATATTGGGATTATATGTACTGGATAATGCAGCAGTTTAAATTGTCTGCAGCCAGAACACAATTACGTGCTGAAATTAATAACATGGTAGAACAGGGCGCTGTGGAATTGTTATATAGCACGCATGGAAGTTATAGGAAATTCCTATTTGATTGTTATTGCAAAGAAATACTTAAATTTATAACAATTTTTTGAATTTGATAATTATTTTAAACCTTGGGGCGGAGACAATTTCGTTCAGTTCATTATTTATGATAATACGTAAAGTAATTCAGGTTTTAGTAGAGAGAATTGTTTACGTGTTGATATTTATAATGTAACTATACCATTTAAACTCTTTGATTTAACACTTCAGTAGCTCTTCATAGGGTTAAATAGACGATAAGTATCATAAAAATTAATCTTATTTTGATTGTATGATATTTTATTAAATATTGGGTAATTCTTCTGGGAGGCGGGAACCAGTTAGAATTTGTTGTACTGAAATTAACGGGAATTTTATTTTCTATTTATGAATTTTAACTGTACGAACATTTTTTATTGATAGAATTTACATTTGTAATTTGAGGGTTCGTTATGTAATATTTTCTATTCAGATTCTAAATAAAGAAATTTGTAAGACTAATCATAAATGGGAAATATTAAATTAGATCTAAAGTACAACATATGGTGTACAATAAATTTATCTGCCTTAAGGTAGGGATTAATGATGATCTGTTTTAAATATTTAAATAAATATCTGGGGGGAATCCTTTGACTAGCTGAGTAAATATTAGCTTCTAAAGGATTTATATAGAGTTAATATAGCATAAATGAGTAATTTATTGCAGCAGTGGGAGACGATCATTTGGCAGGCAATTAGCAGGAACACTAAATATAAATATGACTCAATCGAACATAAAAATTTGAAGTTTCCGTTGTGACTCAACGTTATGAAACCTTCTCAGGACTTTAGAATTTCATTGATACAAAAAAATATTGGAGACTCTTTCTTAATTAGGGTTTATGAACTCTTAGGTTTCTCACGCGGCTGATTAACGAGAGATAACGCCATCTTGTATATTGTTAAAACATATCTCAGACTTAGAATGAACGATCTGAGCTACTTTTGAAGTACTATGGAAAGTCTCTGTGCTTATTCACTACGCCATATAAAATTTATTAAACTGTAGTTGGTTATCTCGTAACAGTTTTTCTGAAAATGTAGCCCGGTAGAAAGAAAACAAAATATAAATAGTTGTCATTGAGAGTAACACCCATAAGAAATTTAGATCATTCTTAATTTTGGGCGTGGTTTTTGTTAAATATCCAATAGGACTAATACTTCTTACTCATTGTATTCAAACGTTTCCTTGGCGGAGTAAAATATTTTAATAGAATAATTTTTAGACAGTATGTCTTTGCAGTGTTACCTTTAAAGTCTAAAAAATATTCCCAATATTACACCTACAAAATTTTCACTTTACGTCCAATTATTTATATATTATGTAGGCGTTGTTTAGTTGTAAATTTTTGAGTTATGGCTAAAGTGTTTTTCGTTTCAAATTATATCTTGAATTATTTGTAATTCTTTTCGGATAATTTTTCAGTATGGGGAAAAAGTATATATACAGCCTTTAAATATACATGAAGAAAATTTGATAGCCTCTTAAAACAAAAACAAAAATATAGTAAATTAATTATGTATTCTATTTGTAATTCAGTAATACTGAACTCACTTGTAGCTCAACAAAATAAAGTCAACTGCTATTTTAAAAATTTTAATTTAATCTCACATTTTATTTATTTCCGAGAGGTGCTGGATATATGAAATGTTACGACTATAAAATAAACGAAAGTATTTGTTTTAATTTAGACTAAATTTATAACTCAATATTAATCTCAATGGCAGAATGAACCTGTAATGTAATTGAATAAAAGTATTCCCATAATTAAACAGGTGTTTAATAGGCAAATTAACATTGAAAAAAATCATAACATCTGTGTTGAAAGTAATGACGTATGTTTCACGAATGACTAAATTTTGCTGTGTGACCAAAAGAAAACAAGCAGTTGATAACATGAATGATAATTTGTAGATGAAGTTCTGATTCTACATTCTGTGCCTGGTGAAACTGCAGATGTAAGCACCACTGAAGTCCCAGCGTCTACAATTCGTACGTAGTACCACTTCGTTAGCCGTCTGGATGTCTCGTCGTATACTACCATCCTGATAAATTGTTCTCTTGTTTAAATTTTGAATCTTAATATTAATAGCACTCGTTGAAACCGTATCTTAAAATAATTGTTGTATCTTAATTGTGCATGTAAATTTTATTATGTCATGTCTGAAATTATTCTGTTTAATAAATACAATTATTGAATATCTCGGAACATGTTATTTTTCTGTATAACGTAGGATATTTGAGCCTAACCTACTGATTCTGTTGTAAATATAATCTATAGTAATTTCAATGAAAAAATTAAAATATTAATCAAAGCCATTTGCATTTAAACAGGAACCCGGAAATTTATCAACTTGTAGCATATTGTTATACATATAAGATGACCCAGAATGTTATCAAATTTAATGCTTTGTTTAACCTAAACGACGAGGCATACAAGTCTTTCAAATACCTATCGAATGATATCAAGCCGTTTATATTACTAAATGTTCAACTGTTTCTTATGAAAAAAATTTGCTAACATTTATATTTTAGTCTATAATCTATTCTATATTCTATTTAGCCAATTTTTATGAGGGTTTTGGGTAATACCAGTTGGGTTTCGAAACACGTTTTGTTCACTGTGTGACTTAAAAGACTGAGGGGAAAACAAAACAAGTTCAGAAATATGTTCATGGCGTAACAATTCTTAACGCGTTCCCGATTTCGACACGTATTCTCCACAACCCATGTATTTCCCACTCATTTATTTCGATATTTAGAAACAGGTGTGAAATTTGATGTTACTGTTAACTTATTTTTCTAAAAGTTGGAATTTGTAGGCAACTTTTAACATGGCCCTAGACAATTTAATTAAAATCCGTGCAGATATTTTCTGCTTTTCATTTATACGGACAGACAGATGGGTGGACAGATATTTTTGAGGCTCTACTCAGGAATGTGAAAGTGTTTAAAATCTCCCACTCTCCGCAAAGTATTTTATTCTACGGTTGAACTGACGAAAATAACACATTTATTTATTAAATCTTGTCCGTCTAATCACAATAAATTCTTATTAAATATTAAAATATTACAATAATTAACATTTAAAATATTTTAAATGTTAATTATTGTAATATATCGAAATATTCGATAAAGAACATCATTTAATATTTTAAATATTTTAAATGTTAATTATTGTAATATTTTAATATTTAATAAGAATTTATTGTGATTAGACGGACAAGATTTAATATATACTTATTATATCACACTATGACGCAATTTTACCATCTAACATTTATTTATGTCAGTCGGCTGTTAAATTTGGTAAAGAACCACAGCTGAAATTTAGACTGCCACCTCGGCTCCAATTTGATCTTTTAAAGTTTTTCTTCCATAATAATTCTATTCTGTCTGCGCATGCGTCGCGTGTCAGCTGTGAAAGGAAATCATTAGTCGTAAGGTCAACTAGATAGCGCGCTCACTGCAGGAAGTCGTAATGAATCTAATCGAGAATTCGTGCCTGGTCGATAAAACAAAATCGACTCTCGTCCGCCTTCATTATATGGAACAGAGCAAGTTATCGAGCCTGTCGTATGCATCACAATGTTTACAAGATGGTGGTGTGCTTTGCTACTGTTTTCCAGTGTGCTGGCAACGAACCAGACTCGACCTCATATAATTTTCATCTTAGCTGATGATCTGGTGAGTACACATCTATATTTAACAATGTGTAATGTGATTGTATGTAAGGAGAATACGCGATTACAGATCTCGTAGCTTGCAACAGGACAAATGGTAAATTATTTACGTAATTCGACGTAATTGAAGATAACATATGATGTAATTACTGCTAAGATATGAGAATAAATATTGGCCTTGTCTCTCAACATGTAAACAATCTAAATCAGGTTTTCCTAACCTAGTTGATCAACATGGAACACTTTTACATTCTGAAGTTAAAAATGGGACCCTTAATCCTAATTGGACCTATGGCCCATCTGACTCATCTTATAAGTTTACAGCTTGTACAAGACTACACGGCAATACAATCATAACCTCAAATTCTAAAGGTAATTGATATTAAGAAATAAAACTTTATATAAATAGCATTTATACCTTTTTGTTCAATGATCTAAATTATTTTATTTGAAAATCCATTTAATACTCTGATTATTTATGTGTAGACAAACCAAACACTACTAATCGTTTCTTTTTTATTGAGAAGATATTTAAAATATATTTTATTGGCTTTACTCCAAATATATTGTGCACTGCACAAGATACGCTATTCAAACGAGAGCGTTTGTTACAAAATATTTAAATATTCTAGAGGAGCAATAGTTAAAGAATTACTGTCTACGAACTTTTATCTCATATTCCCTTATCTCAGAGGTGAGATCTAGGGTTTCTCGTAGCAGATCTCGAGAGACCATTCTCAAAGATCAATTGGTCTTAGTCGTAAATAAATAAAATCTCGCCAACATTAACAATCAATTATCAGGGGGCCTGTATAATGGAATATAAACATTCTGTAGTTAAAATTTACAATATATTTAAGTTTAATATTATATACTGTTTTAACCAGAGTGTAATTTACTGCTGAAATTATTAAATCATAACGGGACATTTTATGTCTTTCGCTCCATGGAGTCTTAGTATTGTAGAGGCCTTGGTATTGAAGCCAATCTAGTATATTTAACAATATATCGTTAGGCAGTCACAAAAGTCGACGATAATATTACTAATAACAATAATATAACCGTGCATCGGAACATAATTTCAAAACGTAAAATCATAATAAGATAAAATAATTTCAAAGGTATGTATGTACCTAACATATTAACGAAATATTAATTGATTTAAAATTTATTTTACAGAAGATATTATATAAACCTCAGGTGTAATTAAATTCTTCTATAACATAAATGTAATTTGTCACCTTCAATCTCCGAAATTTTATCACCGAGAAAGGGACTTCAGATGCCCTACAGTTGTGAAGTTGGATGGTTTGAAGCCGTCTAGATATTTAATCAGAGGGGAATCCATCCCTCACGAGGACCCAAATCTCTGTTAATGAAATTTGTGTCAAATCAGATCAGCGCAAGATAAAGAAATAAGGATAAACGCTCGAATTTAAAGCACTTAATGTTAGATCTAGTATAAGATGTGGTAGGAGATTTTATCTCGGCTTTAGGTATGTGTTTTTTTTTAATCGTGTAAAGTTTGTATGTCTGCAGGGTTGGAACGACGTTGGCTTCCATGGTTCGGACCAGGTTCCAACGCCGAACATTGACGCTTTGGCGTACAGTGGCGTCATACTTAATAACTACTACGTTCTGCCTGTATGTTCTCCGTCACGCAGCGCCCTTATGACAGGAAGACACCCAATCCACACAGGTGATGTGTAATTTAATTCCATCTCAACTTCTAATTTACATCTGCCTTTATTCAAGTATATTAAAATTAATAGTCGTAATATAATTTATTATATTAATAACTTCTGAACGCATATGGTTCGAAATGTAAAGTGTTCGTAAATTTTCTCCGATTTTAAGGAACAAAATATATCACGCATTTCAGTAAAATTTTTCAATATCGAATTTAATTTTAAAAAAACTGTCAGCTGTTGCTGTATTACATTCGAACTAACAGGGCGAAGTCAATAAGCTCATTTCTGAAACTTTGTTCTAAATGCGCCTATAAAAACTGCATTCATGATGACCTCTAATTCGACCCGGATTCGAACAGAATTCTTTGTCTCGTTTTCTTTGGATTTGTGTTTCCAACACTGAGGTCCTCCGTGCTTTTTCTCAGTTGAATGGAAAAATTCCAGGAAAAGTCGGTAAATGAACATGGCCCTTTTGTCTCTAATCATGGACACGTCCCAAACTTTCAAAGTCACAGACGCCTTCGACTAAAGCGATCCCAAACCTTCTGCCCTCGACTTCGAGACATCGAGCAAACCAAAGCCTTGACTTAAATGACAAATTCAGTGATGGAATTATCATCCCACCATTATCAGTAGCTATTAGTTGGAACATAATAAAGACCCACAGTCAGATAGCAATCCCTTGTTACAGTTTACGAGACTGTTTACCATTTTCGTGTATGGGATTGGTTTAACCCACTAAGGGTCGACGTCCTGTACTTGGCTCAAGACTCCTTCCTTGGCACTTCCGTTGGCCGAAGCAGTGGGTTCAACCACAGCCCTAGTGTCGGTAGAGCAGCTGTCTGTACACACCGGCAAGCCACTCAGGGTCTCTGCAGCGCCAATGGAAGTGACCTTGACGCTTCTCGTCCTGTGCAGGGATGCAACACAGCGTGATATTCGCCAACGAGCCGTGGGGTTTGCCACTGGAAGAGAAGCTTCTACCGGAGTACTTGCAGGAACTCTCTTACGTCAACCGAATGGTGGGGAAGTGGCACCTAGGACACTTTCGTGCGAATTACACTCCTCTCCACCGCGGGTTCGAATCCCACTACGGATACTGGGGCGGACACCAGGATTACTATGATCACACAGCTCAAGACAGTGTAAGTAGCATATACAGTGTGTTTAAAAAAGATATTAACACACATTCAAATGAATAAAATATACATGGATTGGGCAGGAGGTGTGCACCGGGTGTTGCCTGGGAAGTCTGAAGGAAAGACATCTCTGGGGAGACCTAGACGTAGATGGGAGGATAATCTCAGGCGGGATCTATGGGAGATAGGAATTGAAGGAAACTGAATTTTGTTGGCCCAGGACAGGGTCCGGTGGAGGGCTTTGGTTAATTCGGTGATGAACCTTCGGGTTCCCTAAGCCATCTAGTTGGTTGGGTCCACTATTTGGGAAGCCTGAGGGGAAGAGATCTCTGAGGAGACCTAGACGTAGATGGGAGGATAATCTCAGGCGGGGTCTATGGGAGATAGGAGTTGAAGGAAACTGAATTTTGTTGGCCCAGGACAGGGTCCGGTGGAGGGCTTTGGTTAGTTCGGTGATGAACCTTCGGGTTCCTTAAGCCATGTAGTTAGTTGGTTAGGTGTTACAAATGACAACCGATCACGTGTTCTTAAACACGTAGATCGTGAACAAGGTTAATATTCCATATTATAGTTTAATCATCCTGTTGGAACATTTTGTATAAGACTATATTAAATATAATGCATTAAGGCCCAAAATCGCCTAACCCCATTTACCATGACAGCGGTTGTAACAATACACAAAACAAATAATATCTCATAAGGCCGAAAATCCCTTAACAGCGAACGATCACTGATAAACACTTTTCTGTTATGTAAAAACACCACAAGAAAAGTTTTTCTCAGCAATTCCTGTTTGATTTCTTGCATAAAATGGCTACAGCTTCGTTACTGGGGCTACGACATGAGGAGGGGCATGGAGGTACACTGGGAGAGTTACGGCTATTATACCACAGACCTGTTCTCGCGAGAGGCTGTTAGAACCATCATGCACCACGACAAGGCGCGTTCCTTGTTCCTGTACCTGGCTCACCTCGCCACTCACTCGGCCAACCCATATCGCCCCTTGCAAGCACCAGCGGAAACCGTCAACAAATTCAGCTACATTGCAGACAAACAGCGTCGGACGTTTGCAGGCGAGTCTACCAACCCTCAGCCAAGTTAAGAGCACAATTTTCCCGAAACGTCGTGTAATGAGCTTGGTCTGTTGCATTTCAGAACTATTTGTGATCGTCTTACATCTGAAAATTGAAATATTTTCTTAAAGTTACTTAACATTTGTTAAATATGAAACGGTGATTAAATCCTTCTTCTTCAAAACAGTTCTGATATTTTATTAATGCATTTTCTTGCTATATTTATTAATTTTTAACAAAAATGGAAAAGATATATCGTATATTTGACACAAAGGAGACTTTTTTGGCTTTTACACATTTTAAAGTTAGACAATATTTGACATTTGTTTCGTAATTAACTGGCCATGTTCAAAATTCGAAAAGTTTTAGAAATATTTTTCACGTTGTAAAGAATGGAGAAATTTTTAGTAACAAATATGCAAAAATTAGATTTGAGATTCTCACGGCCGTAAACATGTCGATGTTCTAGGATGATGAACGTACATTTCAGACAAACACGTTACCTTCTTCAGAGTTGAAACTGCATTCAATACTATCATTTACATTAAAAAAACTCTCATTCTGTAGAACCACTTCTTACTGTATAATATATTACACAGGAATGTTGTCCAAACTGGACCAGTGTGTCGGCGATGTTGTGGCAGCCCTGGGAGAACGAGGAATGCTTAATAATTCGATCATAATATTTTCAACCGACAACGGAGGTCCTGCTGCAGGTTTTAACCTCAACGCAGCTTCCAATTGGCCACTCAGAGGGGTAAACATTATTTTACAAATTAACCTATTTGTCAAACGTAGGAAAATAGATTTCTTCTAATGTTATTATTGTTATTCGGTATTAGTGTTGAAAAATTAATTACTGTGTGTTTTGAAACCGAGGCAGCATTTTACCAAAATATGGTTTAAAACTCGGCGGTGACTAAAATTTTCCGTAATTTTAATTAGTCTGCAGAAAAATGTCGGGATAATACGTTAAAATTAGGCCACGACCGATTGCTTCCAAATCCTTTCCAGTTTATTGTTTGTTAATCAGATCTATTCGACGCTATGTAGTCTAAAGTACATTTTCGTTAAATAAACCCAAAATTAATAATTTAATAATTATCAAACTAAACCATGTAATACCATGGAGAAAAGTTCTCAGATTCTACTAGTTGCTCAGCTCGTTAACATATTCCCGTCCTACGGAAACCGATGGTTTACGACGATGTTTAAAATAGCTCACTACTAATCCCCATCATTTAGTTTGTCTTATTTAAAGTATATTTTAATGCAATGCAAGCTGTCATTCACAACTAGGTCTTGCAAGAGAGTCTTTTCCATTTAGTTTTTCCGATTACAATTTTATATGAATTTCTCATGTCTCCTATTCCTTCTGCATGACCTACCCATCATCAGTTTTGTAAAGATTAAATCTAAATAACTTCTATCAACTACTCAACGTTAACTGAGTGAACGTAATGATCTGTCGAACAGAAAACAACTCCTCATTATTGCGCGTTCATTTGACGAATCTTGGGCGAAGAAACTACAAACGTGTTCTACTGATATTTGTATTTAAATTAACCCATAAATAAACGGATTTGTTCAAATTATAATAAATTATACTATATAATATTAAAATTTTAATCTTATAATAAATTTAGCAAATATTAAGAAACTTCAACACTTTCCTTGCTACTAACAAGATATATCGTTTGAAAACATTGTCTCGTATGACATTTAAGACATGTAAAAATATCTTTCACCCTCTTCAAAAAGTTAAACGATTTACATTTGTGACATGTGATATTCCCAATGTAAACAATTACCATTTTTACGTTGAATTAACTAGAAGTCAAGAATGACTCATTCAGAGACACGAATAAATACATAAATATCTTCATCTAATTTTATTACAATCATAAATTCAGGAAATGGGACTTTCGCAACATGAATGAATGATAACAGAATATAAAATTGTGGTTGAAAAAAAAATTGAAGGAAAGACACAACACGATAGACGAGGCGTACTTGAAATGATAATATTAAAATAGGCCACAGAGAAACGGTTAACAATGGCATGGAACGGACTCTTATGGATTTAAGTGTGCACCGTTGTGAATAAATGGATTATAGGCATGCTGTGATGGTTCGTACTTTGAGAAAATATGAACTCATATTTGTATTAATTTTATTGTGTGTAAAAGCGATTCAATGTTAACATTTTATTTAGTGTTTGGGAGATGCTAATTGTGATTTGTTACACGTGAACTCCCTTAACATTGACAAAAGAAAAACACATTCGTAAATGTTATCATGTAAGTCCCAAAATTACGTAACAGCAGCAAATTATCACCGACAAACCAACACTTCTCATAATATAGACAATACTGGGTGAATTTTAAGGTAAAAGACACACTTTGGGAAGGCGGTGTGCGGGGTGTTGGACTGGTATGGAGTCCCTTGATCCCTGAAGCCCCACGGGTAGCCAATCATTTGATGCATATCCAAGACTGGTTACCAAGTCTGCTACACGCCGTCAATGCCAGTGTGCCGTCACATCTCGATGGTCATGACGTCTGGACAAACATCTTGTCAGGTTTGTGACCTTTCAGCTAAGAACTAAGCGTTTCCTTTAATGACACTCCGAATCCTGATTTTATGACGCCATCGCATTATAGAGGATAATTCAAAGTTTTTGTACAGGTTTTTAGGAAGACTATTATTACTGTTTTTGCTGTAACTCTGCAAATTACAGATAGGCTTGAGAAGCTGATAATTGATTACCATGCTCGCCTATTTCATAAACCGTATGTTTTATTACCGTGTTCACAAGTCCGCTGATGGCCACTCGTCTGTTGCTAGATATATGCATCTTAAAATTCTATATTTGTTCCAGGTCCATTTTATATTAATCTGATCATTATAATTATTTTTATGTAACTATAATTTCAGAGTCCTCTTCATCTTATGACCAACTTCTTCTGAACATAGACAACGAAAGAGGCATTGCAGCTCTTCGGAAGGGAGACTTCAAACTCGTTAAAGGTGGGCACATGTTTTGGTAATAGGTTATAAAACACAAAATACGAAGAAACCAATGGAAATATTGAAATTTTTAAAGCTTTATTATGTTTTTGCAAGAAATTCACTGCTTAAAATCGGTACGGCCGATAATTTAAGCTGTTTTTTTATCTCCTTTGTTTTCACAAAACCACGCACAAATGTGACACAAAGATGAATTTGATATGAGAGCCTTGAGGGTTAAAAGAGAATTTTATACTTTCACAGACCTTGAAGTAACTTCATCCCCTTATAACAGACTCACGACCTGCAAGTTTATAAGTAAGGGTAATTTGCTGAAACTCAGTTGCAATTCGTTAAACAAGTCTTACCAAATTAGACACGCCACTTCAAATAGGTTCACGTATTTCTCATTAATTTTTATTAACAGAACAGTTCATTACCGAGATACTTGAAGCTGATTGAACTTGCAACAATCTTCAGTATCAGCTTTAATTAATCTTATTGAGATTCGTCTCTGTCCCTACAAGCGTTCATCAGTATGACGTCATAATTCATTTTACGTTCATAATTACTTCAGTCACGGAAAAAAGTTACTTAAAAATACTGACATTACCATAAACCTTTCTGCTGTCAAATAACTACATTTATTCGCATAATTTGATTTAAAATTAGAAAATCTTACGCTGCCGGCCACTGGTTGTGAACTCTTACAGTCCACGACTGTAATCTTGAGACTTACAAGGAATGCAGGTAGGTTAAGACGAATAAATATTATTGTTCTTGAACTCAGGAAGAACATGGGATGGACAATGGGACGGTTGGTATGGACCTTCAGGGAGGAAACCAGCTTATCGTTACAACGTGACGCTGGTGTACGACAGCCCTGCTGGTCGAGCCATCGCCAAAACCAGTTCTCCCTTACCGTCCAACCCTGACGACGTGTTGAGGTTGAGGGCAGCTGCCAGCGTCTCCTGCGACTCAGACATCAAACCGACATGCGCAGGTCCCAGCCCTGTGTGCCTCTTCAATGTGAGGCGAGATCCCTGCGAGTTAGACAACTTATCCGACAAGTATCCCTTACTGGTTGTGGCACTTCAGGAGCTATTGGACCAATACAACGCTACTGTAGTTAAGCCCCTCAACAAAACTGCCGATCCGAGAAGCAACCCAAAGTATTGGAACTACACTTGGACCAACTGGATGGACAAGATTTGATAACAGATTTTAAGAGGTTGGTGCTGGAATATTTAGAAAATTTCTAGTTGTATTCTACGCTTATTACAATTTAAACAATATTCTTTACGTACTTAGTGGTGTCACCTGCTTTATTTTGTTTGTTAGTGTAACGTACCTTTGAAAATTCACAAAAGTTGTCTAATTTTTACGTATAATTAATTGTTATCGTTTAATGACTCTACGGTTCAAACTTTGCCATGTATCCAAAGCTTCTGAGTTCAAATCTCTGCCCGAAGACCCATTATTCCGAGGTTTTCTCCATTTTCCTTAACCCAACAAGAAAGAATGCTGAGATAGACTTAATTTAGTCTACAAACTCTTATTTTCACGTCTATTTAAATTTAGTATTTATTCATTCGTAGCATTTTTAAAAATTTCCGTCCGCAGATAGTTAGCTTGAATTGTCAACAGATGTCAGGAGTGGTTTGACTTGTATGATATTAGGAATATTTATATATTATTCACGTTAATATATCTCGTATGTTGCAAAGGAAAAATTTAATATTGATGTAAGAGGAATCCTACTAAAGAAAATTATTTAACCCTATAAAACTCTGTGGTAACTACGTTCCATTTGTTTACATTTTCTTAGAGTAGTGGGTTTTATATGATTCTCAGAGTAAACAGCAATTTTTTACCTAACAGAGTTAATCAATTAATCTTTGTAATGAAGATGATTTGTTTTATTTGAGGTAAGCATTGGCTTATTGACATATTAGATGAGGTTTGGCTTCAAAAGGTTAATATGTGGTCTCGTAAATGGTACAGACCTTCCTACTGTATCGATACTGATTGTTCGTATCGATGTATGATTTGAGGTTTTCACAGCGGTGCGTATGAAAGTTTCTGCCTTCTGTGTTGTTTCGCCGTGTAGTCTGATAGAAGTTTACCGACATCGCCCTGATGATGGAGGCAGCAAGAACCTCTTTACACAACCATCTTTAGTGTTCGTATATCTTGTCAAGGTACTGCCCAGTCTAATTCTATTGCATCCTTCTCTTTCATAGTCTTTCAAGTAAATGTTTTCTATTGTGATTTAATTTTAAAGTTTGAAGAGCAGTCTCGTTTCCTCGAGGTATCGTGATCTCATAGCTTGACCGTTAGCCTTAATTTCTGTTTCTAATCGACTGTTAACAATTTTCACTGTAAATAACCTCCAGTCCTCACCACAGTCGCTAATTCCTTACATTTAATTTCGTGTTTTATCAGCACACAAAATTTTCACTTCTGTACCTAATGACCCCTGTTAATAGTGCATCATGAATCTCGTTTTTCACACAGTCTCCTTTCGGCAAGTTGGTACCTCTGCATTGTGCTGTTTACAATCTCTTAATACCAAGTGGTAATTGTTTATATCACCTTTAATAATCAGTATGTCTATATTTTCCTCGCACATTGTATTTGAAGTTTTGATTCTCAGAATAAACAGCTATTATTTCCATAAATAAGACTCAACTTATACTAAATTCGTAAATATACAGACGATCATGTGGTTTTAATAGGTTAAACTCTTGAGTTGACGTTTATTTTGTAAATTTATAATTACATTAAATGGAAAGGAAATTATGAATTTTAACAAGGAATATAACAATAAGCCTCTCCCTACCTAGAACGTAAATTTTTCAGGACTCTTTCCAGAATATTGGAGTGGATAACCACAAAGTTTTTTTCGGAAAACGTAGCAAGCGATCATTTGGCTGACATAAGTATGGACGAGATGATAATATTTAAGCGTATATTAATAAATATGATACGAAGTTTGGACTTAATTCGTTTGTCTCAATACAGATATCTATGGTAGGATCTTTTGAATACAACTAACTTGGGTAATTATCCACAGTCGCTGGATTTTTACCTCGGCTGGCCGAATTCGTGCCCAGATTAGTCCAGTGGGATTTACGGTACACAAAATGGGACTTGGACCGGATTTTTTTTCTGAGTCCTTCGGTTTTCTTCCCCTGTAATTATCATTTCACCCTCCACACTTGGAGGATGGCCATTAGCTGCCACCGTTCCACAGTGACGAAATCTTAACCCCATATTATCATAACATCTCCCATTTATTTTCGACATTCGATAAAGCGAAGGCAAACATTGGCATTTCCATTAGTTCTTTGTGGAATGAATGTTATTCTCTGTCTGGTGGATGGGAAATTGTCAGCTGCGTTTTAACAATACAGTCTAGCTACAAAAGAAGATTTTCAGTCTGAGGAAAGCGGCGAGAGACGAAAATAAATAATATGAGTTTATATTCCTTTTTTATTCTCTACCTGAATCGGCGAAATCCTACGCTCGTGGAACTTTTTGTCTTTCTCAGCGACGAACATGAATTGACGGTGGGTAAGAGCAGGATGATGATGATGATGATGATTGTTATGAAGACAAACATAAAGCACACCCTCGCCATTTGCGGAGGTTAAATTGTTTATAAAACAGCGATGAGCGAAGTTAAAAATTTACGGAAAAAGTGAGGTTATGTAAATAAAATACAGGCGAAAAATTATATTTAATACGTGTAATTAATTGTTAATAAACATGAAAAAAATATTTAACGTGTATATTGGGATGACGGAGTTTCTGGTTGAAAGTTATGAGGGTCTTGGAACGATGTAGGGTAGATCAAAAAGTCAAAGAGAAATGATCGACTTATTCAACCGCCATTTGGTGGCTTTTCAGTTGATGTCTGATCCGTGCGCCTGCGCAAGAGGTACCTAGGGGGCCTTCACGCAGCGATACACAGACATAACCACAATAACTTTTCGGTAAAATAGCAAAAAAAATAAGGCTGCTGTATTTGTAATCTGGAATAATATGCTTTACAAGGTACTTAAGAAGTTTCTATACTTTGCCCATTGTTATATTCATGTTTTAAGTTTTGTTGAATGTTTTAAATAGCTAAGAAAATGTATTTCAATTATAAGCAGTATCTAATGTCACTTCTGTATTACAAACTTTATCAGATCAGACTTCATAATTTAAGAACATAAGATAATATGACCCAAACTTTAAAATCAAAGCCATCAGATGTAGAATATTTTAAGAAATGAGTTACGAGTCTGAACAAAACTCTCGTCTGCTTGGTTTATTCAATGCATTCAGATCACAATGACTCAATGTTTGTTTGCAGAATCAGTCGTGTTCTGAATGAAATCGTTGTGTTACAGATCGCGGGCAGCAAACATGATTTCATAGTTGCCAATATACGACTACTGTTAAGTTAAATATATTTCAGATCTTAATGTCATTTGTGTGTCTGGTTGCGAGCCAGAATATAAGGATTCGATCCCTGGAATTCTTGTATACTTTGAGACCCAGTCAATCTCCATTTCCGATGGGTAAAATGACGTTTTCTTTGAGTGTTAAACTGAGCTTCAAGTTGCGTTTAGTCCTGGGGTTAAGAATTAGTGGATAAAATTTCTTGTTCCGAGGTTGTTAAAATTCTTCAATCCATCACTTCCTTCGTCGGTCCATTTCACGTCTTCCTATTGCCACATAAATATAAAACAGTTTATATTATTTAAATCTTGTCCGTCTAATCACAATAAAGTCTTATTAAATATTAAAATATTACAATAATTAACATTTAAAATATTTTAAATGTTAATTATTGTAATATTTTAATATTTAATAAGACTTTATTGTGATTAGACGGACAAGATTTAAATAATATGTATTTATTATATCACAATATGACGCAACTTTATCATTTCATAAAATAGTTTTATAATTCTGTACTAAGAGAATTTCTGTCAAACGCAACTAATACCAAAGCAACTGAACGTAGACTTAATGCAATTCAATTCTCACAACCATTTTAACTCTTTGATGTAGAAGCTCATTTAAGTAATATTTATAAATTCAGTTCGTACCTCAAAGAAAACACAACGCCTCACCATTACAAGTTAAAATCGTTCATGCTGTTAAAAATAATCATTAATTATTCTGATAATGATATGAAATGTACAAATATGATCTGTGGTAAAATGCAGAGTTATTAAGAGTAAAATCAGGTGGTACATATAGTTACCACTTGTCTTTTTAGGGTTAATAAAAAAACGATAATGGGCAGAGATATAGATGGAACTAAACTGCCTCAAGGCCGTGTTTAATGACGGGCTAGCAGTTTTGAAACATTATGTTTCTATTGTCAGAAATTAGACATTAGATTGTATCTAATAATTAAACATTAAAGAAATAAATTATCACTTTTCATCTTATTTTAATTACCTGGTGCCTATATAATAGTTTGTTTTAAAATAAGTTAAAATGGCTACTTATGGAAATAATAAATAAATACATTATCAAAGGCAAATTATTCCAATCAATTGCGTTGTGATAATGCTAATAAAGATCGCCCATGTCATATATAATTATAAAAATAATTTCTTTACCGACAGACATCTGTTTCACTCAGAACCTTCGCATAACAATCTGAGGGAAAAATTTGTTTGACCCAAATGTTTATTTTTCAAGTCGAAATTTCTGGTGTTAGTTTGTGTATCCAGGACGTGAATTACAACTTTAAAGTAGCATTCAAAAGTCCATTATTAAATCTGGTAAGATCAATAGAGACAGTGTTTTAAATATATTAGTTTTCATCACTGTTAAGCGACGCTGCATTTACGTTCTACAGATTATTAATGTGTTTTCGAATGTATAATAAAGCACAAGATCTTTCCTCCAAACCCCATTTATGTTAGTAATTAGAGAAAAATATCACAAATATTTATTTATTCTTAATGTGCCGGTCGGTTTGAAGCGTTTAACTCGCGTGAATATTGTTTTCTTAACTTTGGCAAGTGCATAACACGTCTTTTGTTCTCGAACGAAGCGTATGCTACATTTCTTCGTAAACATTTTATCTTCTGAGCTCATGAGCTATTTTTCACTAGACTATGTTATGGGTTTTGACTCCCGTGTTGATTCGTACGAAGATGCAAACATTTCGGAGGTACAGTCTCCGTTTCTAGGACTTACACCTCCGTCCCTGAAGATGGAAGGAATATATTTCTACGAAACGCTGATATGTAACCACTAATCCGCATGACGTCACAAACCAGAACATCATTAGGTAAATTGCACTTGTGGATCAAATTAAACTACGATATTATTCTTAGTTCACATAAAACAATCACAACAAATAAGGTTTATGTGTTGTAAGATTTTAAGTTTTCACAGCGGTGAGATTGAAGATTTCTATCTTCTGGGTTGTTGCAGTATGGCCTCTGAAACGTTGGTAAACGTCGACCAGACGACATAATAAAGATGTTTTGTTTTGCTTTGTCGTGTAACCCAGTACGTCACATGTTCCATGATCGATTCTAAAATACGTACGTGATGACATACGAACGCTTAAACAGACATTGCCAAGGGTTTTATAAGAAACTGGTGACCATTAGACTCCGCCCATTCTTTTATAATTCTTTGTCTCGTTCCCAAGATTTTAGCTTTGTCATTCATACTCAGACAATGGTAAATTAACTATGCAGACTTTAAATAAATTTAATCAGACGTATTTGATAACGCTCTAAATTCAAATAGTGGTTTTATGAGTTACGTCTTGTATATGGTGATCAACGTTTCGGAGAAATATTCAGCGTGTTTATTATACACCGAAGATTACAATCTAAATTTCACTGCAGCAAGGACATTAAAATTTTAAGGCTTTAACTTAAAGAAAATAGTGAATTGTTTATTAAGGAAAACAGTCATAATTACAGTGAGAATAACTAAGGATATTCATGATCACGAGTTCAGCTCGCATACACTTAAAGAGAATTAAATTATGGAAAAATTAAGCTGCACAGTCATGGCATTGCTACAAATTTTAAGTGCGTTTCACGATATGACGTAATCACTTCTTCCACTGTGTCTGTTCATCTGTTTCTGTACGTGAAATAACCTAGCTCTCAATAAAATTATTTGTATTATTTTTTCGAAGGCACTTATAATTCTTAAAAGCTTATTATTAAAGAGATACTTACAAAGGTGCCAAAAACTTTTACGCTAAATACAAAATTTACGGTATTTTTGACATCGCAGATACTTTTTTTGGAAGTACGTAATTATTCAATGCTTGTACAAAATGTATTTTAACAAACTTTGTGAAACATTTCTGTAAGTTGAAAAGTCAAATGAAATTAACAAATAAAACACGTAAGCAAAATGTAGAGAAATGATTTTAAACGCAGATGACATACAAAATTACAAGTAGTCTATAAACCGTCTAATACAATTGACTCCCGATTATTCTGGGGCGGATTAAATGATCTCTCTCTGTTTTAAAAAAATATTAAACGCTAAGTTAGAAAATTTGTTGTAAACATTATAACGTTTAAAAAGAAAGAAATAAATACAATGGAATAATTAACGTATTAACATAAATAAGTTGCTGCTAAACGTAGAACGTTATTACTTACCGCTGGAATCATTTCAAAAAAATAGTTGTAATGTAGAGAATCATATTTTATGTAAATTGTTTTCTATTATTATTATTATTATTATTAAATATTTAAAAATTTAAGTAGTACATGTTTGTAAATAATCTTATGTATTTGTTGCATTACGTGTTTCTCTTTTGTTGGTGATTTTTCTGGGTTTCGATTATCGATTATATTTTCCAACCAACCCAGGGATCTTCTGTGTTGCCATAAAGTCGATACAGAAATAAGTACACTTAAAACCAACAGACTTCTTGCTAATGATAAAGTCACATGATGATTAAAAACAGATCGGTCACGTTGGTCTTACGTAAAAGTAAATAATTCATTGAACGAACGACATTTTAAACCGTAAATGAGAAGCAGATTTTGGGAGTTAGTAAAAACCAACAAATAAAATTCTGATACACTAAAATTACTTTTTAAGTAAACGTAAAGTTCTTGCCATTGTTGCAACAATGGCCTCGGTTCATTGTTAAAGGAAAGAAAACTTAAAATTTTAATGAGCAGAATATATAAATGTTTAATAAAACATATTTTAGAAAACGTAGAATATTACTAAGCGCATACTATTGTATCAAACCAACAAGAATCTCGAGGTATTTAACTAGAAACGCTGTTTGTTTCAAATTACTTCCAAATTTTGAAACTGAATTTTTACTTCTAAGAAAATTATACACCCGTTTCGAGTCCACCATTTAAAAAAAAGTATACCTGTCACGTGATTAAGTCGGCCAATCAACCTTTAAACAGTTTTTCCACTCCTCGCGAAATTTCAGGGTTTTTGATAATCCATTCAAACCAGTTACGTCAGACTGTTATGTTCGTAAAGCAATGACCCCTGACCCAGATCTGCATTCTACAAGTCACAAGTATATGACAAGCAGTTCTTATAAAAAGCGGATATCCTGTAATTCTTCTTACCGTACTTAATCAATAAAGAAATTTATTCAGTGTTCTCTCTTGCTGTCTCAAGTCTGAACTAAAGTCTGATGAACTACTGTTGTTGTGTACGTGTTGATTTAAAATCCTTTCGCAGTTATGATGTTTAAATAGGAAAAAATTAAATATTTATTTGAAATTAAGGCTCTCACAGAGGTAAAGATTGTGAGATCTTCCGCGTTGTGACGCCGTGAAACTTGGCAGACAAAGATGGACGCTATCATCTTTCTCTGAAACATTATTTACCACTTACAATAACACCCACCCTCTCAACACATAAGACCAGAGTTGACATTTTTAAAAATCCGTTGAAATAAATATATACGAAATATAAATTGATTTTAATACTAAAAAGTATTAAATCTTTCAGTTTGACATCTAGTCACCTGAAGATAGAAGTAGATACTTCTTCCGAAACGTTTCTAACAAATACATCGTAAACAATTGATAATGACCACAACATTTTTAAACTGGATAAATACTCTTGTGTAATGACCAGTCTTAATTTGACTTCACTTTCGACGGGGCCCTCTTTGGGCAAAGTCGACACCTCCGACCGTACTTAACTTCACCATGGTAACATATTTCATAAGTGGTCCAATTATACAGAGCATAAAATATTTTGTCCAAACATAAGATTTTATCTGTCAGTGGAAAGTTAATGAGTTGAAATGTTGGCAAGAAATTTTGGTCTACTCACAGTATGTTGTAAAGATATCGTACATGAACTGCAGTAGAATCAAAGCCGTGTTTCCACTCTGAAATGGCCTTTGAAAGATATTCTTGTCTAAACCTATTATTAATAATTACGTCTTAATATTATTCCTCGGCTTTATTTAAAGATAAAGTAAAAATTAATATTTTTTAGAGTCTTATGTTATTACGAATAGTGAGCAGATGGAAATGAAGGAGGGGGCATTCAGTATTTTCCTACTAGGAGGGCCAAACAAAACCACAAAACTCTCATATATTCTTCAGAACAACTGAAATAATATTTCAAAAGTTAATGTTACTTTGTATTTAAAAATCAGGGTAATCTTCATGGGGATTAGAGCGGTCTTAACTTTTCAGATGCCCTCGTTTAGAGCTCTAAAATTTTAAATCGAGGCCAGAAATGGCCTTCCACCTAAATTCTACTATATCCCTCCCACCCTGAAGTAATTTTCAGATGCTTCCAAAACAATTCAATGTTATAATAGAATATCATAGCGTTTATACGTTTAGGTTGTGTTAACGTCATCATGAATTCTCGAATGTCACTTCAAATTTATTCGTAAAATGCCTAATGATGTATTGTACCACCTGTTTCCCCAAGGCAAGTGGATTCACACGCCTGTATATCATTAAACGCGATGTCTATATAAGGCGTGGTATTCTCACCGCCTTCTGTAGTCAGCGGAGTTGAAGAGACAAGTCATTCAAAATGACAGCAGCTACTGAGGTGGTTGCCGAATCCTCCACATCGGCAACTAATACGTTCTATTTTCTTCTCATTCCTGCACTGGTACTTTATTTTATATACTGGAAACTACAAAGAAGAAGATTTGTGGAATTGGCTGAAAAAATTCCTGGGCCTAAAGGATATCCTATCATTGGAAATGCATTGACATTTTTGGGCAGTTCTCTGCGTAAGTCTTAATTAAGTTTTAAGTGTTAAATTCAGCTCTTACGAAATTCGGAAAAATGTGAAAATGTATATAGTGACAGTGACATCATATCTGTATTTTTGTTTGACGAAAAATTCTTCACACGTATTCAGAAAACCCTCCACAACTATAATGGAATACATATAGAAATTTAAAGATTTCAAAAATACTACATCAATACATGGAATTTTAATATTCTGATACTATTTTATTCGTAAAAATTTAGAAAGTAATGCATCTCATAAATACCTTTGGATATAAATCACAAACACAGATTGAAGTAAATAAAGTAACATTTCAGAACATGAAACATACATAGTCGCATTTGACGAAAATACATGTAAACAATAACAAGATAACCACGATAAATATGATTATAATACGTCTTACGTAAAATAGTGGAGTTAAGAAAGTAAGATACTGATGTGAGAAACAATTGATCCAGAATGGAGGTTGGTTCGAAGGAACTACAGTTCTGTCGGAAGTTCAAAAATTGAATAAAATAAAATAGAAACATAAATTTTGACAGTACATACAGCTAGAAAATGCCAGAGTCTGTATCAGAAGCCAGAATCAGAAAATTTTGAAGTTCGGAGACTCAGGTGGCCGTCGTGGCATCTTGTTTACTTATATGTAATCTAATATCTAGGGCCAGTATTACACGAACCTCCAAAAACCATCTTTGTTTGATGGCATTTGATACTGTAAACCACGTTACAAATTGAATTAATACGTTGTGTTAAATTACGGTCATAATTATTATTTATATTTCGTTAGTTTCTTTTTCACAAATAAGCAAACAAACTGTATATAGTATCTTACATACAAGCTCGGAAAGTGTAATCCGTATCATACATTATTTTCAACATAACATAAAATAACGTGTACTAACCTGACATAACCTAATCTAATCTTACCTAAACTTAAAAAAAACAACCTAAGTTCTAACCTCAACTAATCGAACCTAGCTAAACAAAATTTAAATTAAAAATTACGTAACACTGTCTCACCTAACCTAACTTCCCCTAATCTCAACTAATCTAAAGCAGTCAAACTACACTGACCTAGCCTTACATAATATAACTCTATATAACAAAATCTAACAAAACAAAAAACATATAAAAACGGGGTGATGATGATTTTTGAATAAAATGAAGCATTTTCCGAATGTATTCTACTATTAATTTGTCATAGTAAACACTGTAAAAAATAAAAGAAAGGAATTCGAACTTCGATAGTTCCCACTTTGGTCACCTGCTTGCATCACCCCCATGTCTAACTCAGGACTCGTTCGTCACTCTATCGTCACTCATAAGATATTCAAAAGTACGATTTCGGATTCTTGCAGAATGCCACAACGTCCACACAAAATTTCATCCAGTGGTTCTCAAGTAGAATTAACTGGACAGATTTCTTCCTGGTTTTAATCTTTTTAATTGATAAATTATTATAATTTTATTATTAATTAATGTTGATTTCATACTTGGTATTTTATTTAGAGTGTTCTTTTATTGAAGTGCTCTCATTACTGTGCTGTGTTCCAAGACAACGTGGAATACGAACACATGCATTTTACGTTAAGCCAATTTGTATATTTTCTTTGCAGAAATAACAGAAAATTTTTTACAACTATCCTTTGAGTTCACCAACATCATGAGAGTGTGGATTTTTCATAAGCTAGTAGTCTTCATTTGTGAACCAAGGGACGTTGAGGTAACACCATAAAAACTTTCTCAATTATTAAAATAATTTTGTTGGGTTTAAAATAGTTATTGAAGCAGGATTTAATTGCTTTCAATGCATTAAATTCCAGGCTCAAGTCCAGAGAAGAATTTGGATAAATATGAAAATTTCAAAGATCTTGAACAGCGAACACTTTTGAATCTGTCCTTAATCCACAGGATTTAGTAAATCTTTTTTCAGTGTTTGTTATTTTTTTTTTTTTGACTTGATACAGAAATTCCCTGATATTATAACCTGAAAGTTCATCCCTTTTTTTTTTTTAAAAAAAATGGCCATTCCTGGACCCTGTCATAAGACAGTTGAACCCACTCCATATCACTATAATCACTCGTCTACGCCAAAATCTCCAGACTCCTTTGGGACTTTCTGCCAGTGTTTTATCATTTCTCATTTTCTCCTGTCAACCTTGATTTAATAACCCCACAAATATCTTACGAAGGGTAAAAATTATAAATCTCTTAAATACACAATTTTGTTTGTTTTCCTTATACGATTTCTTTTTTAGTTCAATATTTTGTTCTGTATGCTATAATTATGATTATTACATAATTAATTCTTTGAAGAACGTACTAATTCTCAATAAAATAACATTTATGTAACTAATACATTTCGTAAAATAACGAAAGTACAAACATTTGAACTGTGGGCGATCAGAAAATGCTGTTGATTTCACATAAAGTTGTAAAGGTGCCAACAAATTTATGTCTTTACTATTTGCAGCTTATACTGGGTAACAGCACACATCTTGATAAGTCTGAGGAGTACAGGTTCTTTAAGCCATGGCTTGGAGAAGGTCTACTCATCAGTTCAGGTTAGTGTTTCGTAAACATTATAGTGGTAATGGGTTTATTATCATTTGGGAGGCATTTGATTTAATTCTTGGCAGGGACCAATTATTATTTGTGTTTCCTTTAGTTTTTCCAGGCAAATTCCAGTATAGTTCCTTATTGCCACCATTTTGTCGTTTTTAATTATCATATCTTATTTAATAGTAAAGTAACTTCAAAAGTTGATACAGTGCAGTAAAATAATCACCAAAACATAATACCATAGAAATTTGCATTCGTATTTATTTTATATAGGTGTTTAGATTTAATGTGTAAAGACAAGCTTATTAATTTTATGTAATATTTAAATTTACGACACTTCACATTCTTTCATGTTAATAAATCGCCATTTCACGCATTTTTGCACGTGACATTAAAAGTCTGAATTAAGATTGTCTATCACTCAGTTAGGGATAGAGAGAACTTTAAGATTACAAATTTGTGAGCTGTTTCAACTCCCGATTCTTACACGTTTGTGCTAAGATTAGTCTGCAACAGCTGCCATCTTACTTAAACCAATTCTGAGACCCCTGTGCTGTTCCAGGCCAGAAATGGAAGTCTCACCGTAAACTCATTGCACCCACATTCCATCTTAACGTTCTGAAGTCATTTGTTGACCTGTTCAATGCAAACAGCAGGGCTGTATGCAACAAAATGGCCAAGGAGAATGGCAAGAATTTCGACTGCCATGATTACATGAGCGAGTGTACAGTTGAAATTCTTCTAGGTAAGTTACTACCTTTGTTAATTATTCATAGATATTAACTTCGTGTTCAGGGTTCAAAGTGAGTTATCATACTGATATTTTAAGCAGAATGGAATAATTTTTCATATTTTCATGATTACTTAAAATTCAGTATCCAAGATGCAGCAAATAGTTTGAGTAAATTGTCAAGAGATGGCAGGACCAATTTCCTTTCTCACTGATAATGCCACACGCAGAAGACATACAGAAAAGAAAATCAATTTCCAGAGTGATGTATATTGTCCATACCACGCAAATTATTAAAAAAATTATGATAATGCTTCACTGTTTAAAAAATCTTCATAGTAAATTTTCATAAGTATAATTTTAAAATGTATTTCTAGCTTCAGAAAAGTGTATTATATCTTTGAAATTTAAAAGCTTTAAAAACCCTGGAGATTGTCCCATACTCTTTTCACTAGAGAGAAATTCATAAGTAAGGTTAATGAACATAAGATGTGAGTCTATATAAAGTATATTGGGCACCATGCCATCTGCATTCATAGAAGGGCCAAGCTTCAACACTTCATGGAACAGTGTAATAAGCTTCATATACTTGTGTTTATTCTTTGGAAAAGTGACTGGTTAGGAGACTAAATGGGCTAAAATCAATTTGGATGTGGTGTGAAATGAAGAATCCAAGAGACAAAATTACTTACATTAATTTTGTATGTACCATATTTCCTTGATTTTAAGACCCTTTATTTTCACATTTAAAAATTTCTTATATTGGGGTACACCTAACAATCAATACAATGTATTTCGTCCTAAAAACCTATTATTACGTCAAAGGTGCATGTTAAAATTAATAATGTCTTAAAATTGTGGAAATATGGTGTTTCTTCAGTCATGAAATTACTATTGTTGTCATCCATTGAAGTATATTTAAATCAGTTATTTAGTTATTTTGCTGTAATGTAAATTGTTTGTTTACAGAGACTGCTATGGGTGTAAGCAAGAAGACACAGGACAAGAGTGGCTTTGAATATGCTATGGCAGTCATGAAGTAAGGATAAATTTTTGCTGTTATATTTGGACTTAATGAGAAACAGGCAATTGCAATGAAAGAATGCATGGTTTCGGTACAGGACATGCCTGAAATTCTGCATGTGTGGGATAGTAAAATTATCAATAAGATAGAACATATCTTCCATAACGTGGTGCATATTTAATAAAAATTATCAAAATACGCAACACACTTCATTGATCCTAGGTTGCGATTTATTTAAAGCAACAAAATTTAAAGTTTGGAATGAAGAATTTAATATAAAAATTAATTTAAATGCATGATTTTACTGAGAAAGATATTATATTACAATGAAGAGTCACAGGGGTTATTTTGACATATTTATATAATTTTCTTCTTCTTCTTCTTCTATGGCTCTCTGGTCCGTATTCAGTCCATGGCCTCCTCAATTCTCCTCTTACATTAGGTCCTCTTGTTGTATATGTATAGTAATATAATATTGGTATATCAAAATAATTGCTAGTTGCAGCATGAGAAATTTAATTAAGCCTTGTATGTGAACAGTTTTGTAACTCGGACTTTCACCTAGTGTATTTACTATTTACTAGTAATAAAGCCTTGTACGAGTCAACTCTCAGCAGTACTTATTCCATCGGCGGCGAATAACCAATTAATCAAAATCCGCTCGACCAACATTATTCGAACCCACACTGAACTTACACGGTTTTTCCCGTGTCTGGTACACAACAATTCTTTTCGGTCCGTCTGTCCGAGGCTTTGGAGGTTTCAAAACATCTTCCTTTTTATGGTGCAAGGATTTATATAATTTTATGAACTTTAATCAAAACTCATATTTCAGAATTTGCTACATAACTGTATACAGCAAAATTCTTTATGAGAAGCTAATAGTCACTTAGTTGGTCAAGGAATTCCTGTCTTATATGCAGCCATTAGGTTCACAAGGGTCCAGCAATGATTTCCATTTCACACCCTATTTCTTAAAGATTCTCAACGTAATTGATTTAATTGCCAATTAAAAATTTATGATCATCAGTAGGCATTTTGCTTTAACCTCCTGTTACTTTTTATTTCATGTCTAAATATTCTACAAAGCAACCTAACCTCAAATATTCTCAATATCTTTCCTTCGACTCAGTGTGAATCGCGAAGTTTTCCACCCACAGAAAACGACAGATATACTGAGCTAACTGTAACTAGAATTATGGGTGACATCTGTCAGACCACATTCTTCGCTCATCCACGATAGTTGTTTTCAAAGTTCATATGCTTTCAGTTGTAACAAGCCCACTGTAATGTTAGTTTTATACATTCATATATTTTAATCTTACGATCTTAAGAGGTCTAGGAAATAACTGAAGCTGATTACTTTCAGAATGTGCAACATTCTACATCTAAGACAATCAAAGATTTGGCTGCGACCAGACTGGCTCTTCAACATTACCAAGTATGGCAAAGAGCAAATCAATCTTCTGGACGTAATTCATGGACTCACCAAGAAGGTGAATTTTAGTTATTGTTCTCTGCTGTGTGCATCTTTACAAAATTTACACACATTTAATAGCTGCACGCATTATGCATTTAGCTACGATGACTACTTCGTGGATCTAGTAAAAGTACCGGAGACGTACAGGGTAAGAGCGAATAACATCCTTTACTGCAGTGAAGTAAATACACATTTACTTTTGTTTCAGTCTCCTACTGGAAGGTTAAAATCATTGTTAAGTAGTAAATGGCACCTTACACTCTACATTTTTGCACTATTATGTTCAAGAAAGCAAAGTTTTACAGATGAACTACCAAAAAATATATGATTTGCCTCCAGGTTATCAAGAGGAAGAAGGAGGAAGCAAACAGTGGAAATACGAACTATATCGAGTCTTCACTTAACCCTGCGGAGAAAACAGTATCATCTGTATTCAAGGGTCTGGGAGATGATCTGGATGAACAGGATGAAAACGACGTTGGTAAGAAGAAAATTCAGTTACCGGCCATCATTTTTAGGGGAATATTATTGTCTACTCCATTTATCTTAGCGTCTTGCAAGAGGGGGCCAGGGAGAGACAGAATTTACCATAACATACTCTGCAATTCTGTAGTGTAGTGTAGTGTATTAGTGTATAGTGTAATATCTTACTTGCTTCTTTATTGGAAATTGGTATTGTTAATGCAGGATGGGGATTCCCCATGCAGTCATTTCAGTGTGTAGAAACACACGCAGGTCCCCAAGTAAAGTTTTGATCAATATTATTCTGTTATAACCAAATTTGTAATGTGTCGGCAAATATTGTAGAGCTCCCCAGTATCAAATACAATGAAACTTTTAGTTTCATTGTGCCTAAAAACAATTTTTTTGTCTATCTGAAGTGCAGGGAAACACCGGTATAATATTTTATAATATTAGAAATTTTGAGTAATTTAAATACAGGATGAATCACACTTACAAAATTATTACAAATAATTTTAATCATTTGACTTTGGCACCTGGTATGAGGTAGGTACCATATATTTTTCCGAGGAAAGACTTTTAAGGTGAAATTTACGCAATAATTTCTAGTTACAAATTTATGTAACAGAAATAGCGTAATGTAATTCAGTGGGGAATGATTTCACTCACATCTTTGTCGCTTATAATTTTTTCTTCTCTTTTCAAAATTGCATCTCTTTGCCTCATTCCATATTTTTTTTTTAACTTAAACCAACAGAGAGAAGCATCAGCCATGCTAATTACTTTGTCATTTTGTTTTGATCACTAATATTTAAAGTGCTTTCAAAAGCTGACTAATGGTAGCAGCACTTGTCAATATAATATGTATAGATGATCTCACAGAGACCTAAACATTCTCAGTAATGATGATAGATGGCAATATGTTCTACTGACAATTGCTACTGCCATTAATCAGCTGTTTGAAGTACTTGCATCTCTTTGCCTCATTCCATATTTTTTTTTTAACTTAAATCAACAGAGAGAAGCATCAGCCATGCTAATTACTTTGTCATTTTGTTTTGATCACTAATATTTAAAGTGCTTTCAAAAGCTGACTAATGGTAGCAGCACTTGTCAATATAATATGTATAGATGATCTCACAGAGACCTAAACATTCTCAGTAATGATGATAGATGGCAATATGTTCTACTGACAATTGCTACTGCCATTAATCAGCTGTTTGAAGTACTCACACACCAAAAAAGTAATACCCACAAACTAAGAATTCAAAGTCGAGCAGAGATCATATTGCAAATAAAAAGCTATTACCATTTTAATTGTAGGTCAGAAGAAGCGGCTGGCATTTTTGGACTTGATGATTGAAAGTGCGCAGAATGGCGTAGTTCTTACGGATGAGGAAATCAAGGAGGAAGTTGACACCATCATGTTTGAGGTACGCTGAAGAGTATTACAGATACAGGCAGCGAAGATGTTCTGTCAACCTGCCTACATATTACAAATCCAAGTCTATAGGCAGTAGTCAGTTTTTATGTTTCAATTTCACAGACAGGAGTATTATAATAAATATGTTCTGAAGATTTTGTGGATGTTACGTTCACGTAATACTCGCTAATGATAGTAGAGACGTCATTCGTGTGACCGATGTCAACTGTTGCGATACAGTACGACGTTAAATGCCAAAAGTAAAAATAGTCTAAGTCTTACAACTATCTTCAGGAGCCAACGATAGGTCCTTTTAATATGAAAGGTAAATTACGAACTCTGTTACAGGGTCACGATACAACTGCAGCTGGCAGCAGCTTCTTCCTGTGCCTGATGGGTCTCCACCAAAATTATCAGGTAAAAGAAAACTAATATTTGGCATTTATGCTACTAATTTAAAGGTTATTATATTTTCAGTGGGTCTGCCTTCCGATATACCCGTTATTACAATGCTATTCCCACGTGTAAAAAGTAAAGCAGTCCTGCTACATGCCATGTAGGCACTTGGGGGGGGGGGGATTTTTATAACACAAGATATTCATTGTTAATTCTGTTACTTTGTGGTGCTGAATAAATGTAATCAATTTCTAATGCGTAATATCAAATGAGATATGATACACGAAAACTGATAAATCAGGGGTGTTGGAGTACTCGTGGCTTACTTTGATTTATCTTGTCATCTGTCTGGTAGGACTCAAAACAAAATCTCACTGAGAATTACTAGTCCATGATCGTGATTTGAACTTGGAGATCTAACAAATACAAATCAGAAAATTTGTCACCATTTGAATATTCACATAATAAGATGTCTTACGTTACATACAAAGAAATATTCACGCAGAAAATGAAGTGTCTGACACATTATTACTTCCGTATTCCATAGGAAATGTGCGTCCAGGAACTCAACCAAATCTTTGGTGACTCTGATCGACCAGCGACTTTTGCCGACACTCTGGAGATGAAGTTACTCGAACGTTGCCTCCTGGAGACTCTACGAATGTACCCCCCTGTGCCCATCATTGCCAGAAAACTGCAGGAAGACGTCAGACTAGGTATCGCAGTCACACGTTTACTTAATACTCAATTCTGTCAATTACTACCACAAATTTTATTTTGCGGCTCTGGACTTGGGTTGAAGAGCCAGATGTCTCTTAAATCACGCAAACCTAAAATGCATGCTTGATATATGGCTGTTCTGTCTAGAAAACTATTACCAGACATTATAACTAAGACGGTTCATCATGAAGATGTTATAATATTATATACGCTTTAAAAAAACTGATGATCCTGGGCTGGACCATGTGTTTGACGCATATATCAGATTCTATAAACTTTTCATACAGTAGGGTTCAGTGACTGAAAGATCCTTAAATATTATCAGTAATGCCAATTATATGTGTCTACAGTTTCAAAAGACATCATAATACCCAAGGGAACTACAATTGTTGTTACTACCGTCAAGACACACCGTTTAGAGACTTACTGGGATAACCCGGATGTATTCAACCCTGACAACCATCTACCAGAAAAGTCTGCTGACAGACACTTCTATTCGTTCATACCCTTCAGTGCTGGCCCTAGAAGCTGTGTTGGTAAGTACCAATAACAATTACAGACATATTTTATGACCAGCATTATTGTCATCAGTAGCGGTGGCAGAAACAGTAGTTAGTAATGGCGGTAATAGTAGAAGAACAAACTGAATACATTCATTCAGAACTATACAATTTACCACTGGGATACTGAGAACGACCCATTCTTCAAGTGCCTGAGCATCTGCGGGTCTCAACTTTTCGTTGGCTCGATCTATAGACATTTTGGAAGGACTCCTCGGACGAGGGATCGGCCCGTCGCGAGGCCTCTACCAGTACACAGGCTTGAGTGGGATTCGAACCCACGGTCCCAGCGACCGAGCGGCACAAGGCCCACGCCTCAGACCGCGCGGCCAATGCGGACCTCACAATTCACCACACAAACAACAAATAAGATTAATGCGTAGTTGAAATTACAGTTTCAAGAACTAACAGATGAATAATTTGGTGTCTGTAATCGGTAGTAACAGGATGGACAGAATTATAATTGACCCAATGGAACAACCTTCTTCAGGAGCTAAGAGCTACTCAAATTCCCTAATATACATGGAACCTGAAGGCTTATTCATATCTAGAAAAGTGAATAAGCCAGATAATATAATATAGGAAATTATATAGGAGTTTTATTATCTGTACTCTTCAACAAAGGAGGATGAGAAGGTGGTAAGTGTTGCACAGACTGAGCAACAAGAAATGCAAACAAATTTTCTGTTTTGGAAATATTCACCCACCCATGAGACTGACATTTAAAGGAAACGATGTTTATAGGAAAATATATTGTAAGGATTTGAGAGGACAGAATTGGTTCAGGATAAAATCCAGTGACAATGATTATTCAAGCTGTCGATGAAAGATTCTTGGGTCACAAGATACGTCAGGCGGCTGAACGGCGAATAAACAATATCTTCTGCCAACATTTCGAGAGCAATCTCTGTTGTCATCCTCACGGCTGCTGGGTAACAAACCTGATCAGTTTCCCATCAGCGAATGTGCAACAAAGTATCAGATTTGTTACCCAGCAGCCCTGAGGATGACAACAAAGATTGTTCTCAAAACGTTGGCACAAGATATGGTTTATTCACCGTTCAGCTGCCTGAAAAATATTTCATCAACTTGTTGCCGCGGAAGCTTCACTTTATTCACGCTGTGTTACAGCACTGAAATATTTATTGCAGAATGTTGCAGTTGGGTATATTATCGGGATATCTTGATGGGAATATGACTTTAAAATAGGAGGTAACTGTCTTATGATTGATATGAAAAATTTGACATTTTTTTGGTGTGTACTGGACACACACACACAAGAGTTTCGTACATTGGTGGTTAACGTGTGCATGTATGGTACCCCAAAGGAAGGTGCTTGAACATCACCCCATAATTTTTTCAGGCCGCAAGTACGCATTACTGAAGCTTAAAATCATATTGTCAACAATCCTGAGAAACTTCAAAATCTACTCTGACGTGAAAGAAGATGACTTCCGTCTCCAGGGAGATATCATTCTCAAGAGGGCTGATGGTTTCATGATTAGGATGGAGCCACGCAAGAAGAATATTATGGTTTCCTAAACAATATTTTATCTCAAGGTCAATTTATTTGAAACCATTCGTTAATATCTACATTATTACCATCCGTAACATACAGGGCTCTTGATCGGACCATCCAAACAGCTATTAAATACGGTATAGAATGGTGATGTTTCATAATATTTGTTTATTCTTTGTAGAAATTTGGATGTATTGGTTTTGTCTATATACAATTCTATTAAACTTCTAACTTGCGAAGTAACCTTAACTCAAACAGCTATATTTAGTGGGTAAAAAGGTGGCTGTACTACAGTTAATTGGAAGTAGGAAACGGTTATTTATTTAATTTCATTTTAATGTATATGAGTGTATGTATGAATATAATAAAATAAATCAACCAGTCATGTATTTGTGAAGTCATTTTTCACATAGGATAGAAGCTGTCTTCAGAATAGGGAATAAACATAATAGACTGTGCCTAGTGCATAATCTATTTAAATTGTAGGTAGCGTTAAGGGATATTTGGTTTTATGGTTTGCATGACCGACTGTAAAATCACCGCTCCTATATCTGGCAAATAACGGTAATGACCTGCAGTTTATTTAGTGTTTGTAGTTCTTGATGGTTATTATGAATTCTTGGCATTATGCAAATGAAGTAAATGCATATGCTTTATTATATTTACAATAACACTTGGGTAAGAAAAATTAGGAAATGTAACATAGCACAACAATTTTACCTTTGTGAACGACGGAGCTGCTTGGAATCAATGCCAGGGTGCTCAATGCTTAACTTGGTGAGGTGTTGACATCAATCTGGAGGATTCTGCTATGTGACTGCATGGTTGGCAGTGGATTCCCGCAGTAACCATGGTAACCTGCAGACTCGACACCTGGTTACTTGCACACAGAGAAATGAATTTTCATGTAAGGAAAATAAAGAATACAATAAAATAACATGAAACAAAATAAATAAATATTGGTAAATATGGATACCAATCCAATTTACAAGTGAAGAAGCAGCCCTTATCAGAGCTGACAGGGGGACCAACAGTGTAAATCACATAATTGAAGGAAATACAGAATAACTAAATAAAGAGTTGGGTGGGCGTGGAAGACGGGAAAGAATAAACCGGCTCGGGGTGGGTCAGCGTCACAGTCAGGCTGGGACAGCACTGCTCCTCCGGTACAGACTTCCAGGCCACCTTGTCTATTTATCTGGATTTGTTGGAGAGGACGCTGGTATCCTGGATTTGGATTCGATGGTCCAAGTTTACGTTGTTTTCAACAGTGGTTGTTTTATCCGGATAATCCAGTGGTGCTACTTGACACTGGCCTCAATGGAATGGCTGGTCTGCCCAGTGTGGACTTGACCACATTCACAGGGCACGCTGTACAAACCTGGAGTATTGAGTCCCAAGTCATCTTTCAAGGACTGAAGAAAACTGGGAATGTTCCTTAAGGGGAACAACACAGATATGTTGTGCCAGGAACAGGATCTTGCAGATGTGACTGAAGGTCATGCTACAGAAAGGAAGGCAACCGAGGCAGGTTTCTCGAGAGCGAGTATCTTTGGTGGGGATGAAAGCCCATTTATTCTTCCAGTCACTTGAAAGTGACCTTGAGAAACTTCCATTTCATCATGCAGGCCAAGTGTTCACAACCTGCATTCTGCATGTGGTCCATATTTTATCAAGCACATAGTGGGACATCTTTACTTTACTTTATCAAGCTATGTGATGAAATACAGTTACCTGATATCAGAAAACATGTTTTATTATTAATGTCATATTTGACAATATGTATTACTGTAAAACAACTTTCAGCTTAGGCCTTAATTTAAGAATGCCAAATCAAGAACTACGACACATCATACGATAAACGTGGAGAGATTCGTGTGAATCACAAGAAGATTAATCTGATATCAAAATATTAATGTAGCAAAACCAGCTCCAAATATCTCGCTACAAACTAGTACGTCATTAATAACGGACTTGTTTTAAGAAAAGCATTGAACAATATATGCACCTTTTTGCAAAAGTAGGCCTAATGTGATAGTATTTTTTAATATATTTCCCCTTTTTGTAACCTTGCAGCTTGTAAGTCAGTGAGAAGGGGTGAATGTGACCCCAGGTCTGGAAAAGGTTGTAAACCCCTTTCACCATCACAAAAGGTTTTTGCCCTATACACTAACATAGAAAGTAGAGGATGTTTATTGGAAGTGTGCTAATAGAGTTTTATTTGACATGGGTTAGTATGTGTTGGTTTGTGGTAGACATTTTTAATTAGATTTGTATCAGTAGTAATGTCAGTATTTTGAAGCCACCTTTAAAATTAAAATATTTTGAACTGCTGTAGTGGGTGATCTGATTTCCTTATTAGGCCACAGTGAACAGACTAAAACATTAATTAGTGTGGTATATTTAGAATGAATTCTTTTCTGTAATGGCTTTCTGCAGTTAAAACTGATGAGGCCATTGTAAATCTTCTGACGTCGATAACGAGAGACAATTTCCCGCTTGCTGTGAGAAGGCATGACAAGCACGTATATCATGAGCCAGATGACTTTCTTAAAGATAAATTTTAACAGATCGCTAAAATACAGATTATACTTTCCTAATCTTGTTTAAATATTTTAAGTTACCAAGGAAATTAAGAAAATGTAAATGTGCTACAAAAGACTTTTGTTGGCCAGAACATTATTTAGTTAGCAAATAATCAGTTTTATTGCTACACAGGATTATACAAAAGCGTTCATTCATGAAAATCAAACTCGACTATAACTGTTATATTAACCAGTGTTATTTTCTTTACTTACAAAATGTTCCTCGCCTAGCTTTGTTAATGCATTGCAAAGAGACTGGCATGTAACTGATATTCAAAATGGCTGGCATTCTTAAATTTGAATCATGTTACAACTGAAGAGTATCATTAACTGAGAAGAATGTTATTAAATGTCTCCAGTTCATAATTATGGTCAGTTCCAGTATTTCAACTTGTTTTAATTTGCCTGACTAACTTCTTAATTCCCTTGTTGTGATCAAGTAAAACTGAATTCAAAATTTGTGTACAATGTACTAACACTATGCTTCAGAAAATAATTTATAATTTCTCTTGCGTTTGACATTAGTTTGAGCTACATTCATATTTTGATAATTTCTACCTCCTATGTTTTCATAAACCTCTTTATTGCATAATGGCATTTTGAAACACATTAATTAGTGTAGTGAAAATGTTAATCCTTTAAAGCCCAGTGGTAACTATATGTACCACCATCTTTAACAATCAGTAATGCTATATTTTGTATTTTTGTTTTGTACAATTTTCACTGTAAACAGTGATTATTTCCTCAAACAGCATTAGAAAGCTGATCTTTGTAATGGAGAAGTGTTGTGTTTTCTTTGAGGTATGGACTAAATTCTTAACTATTACTTAAGATGAGTTTCAGCTTCGAAGGGTTAATATTTGTATTTGGTGGAGCAGGAACATTATCAGAACATACACAAATGAACCAAATGTTAAGGTTTCATTGTCCTATGAATACGTTAAAATTAAGTTCTGACTAGGAATTGCTTGAGGGCTGAAACATGGAAGGGGGTGCACAACGGATCAAAGATCGTCACAGTTCCAGGGCTGTTAATTGCTCTCCCCACTTTATTTAATTAATTCACATGATGAAGAATTGAGATGAAATTATCAAAGTATGAAGTACACTAATATATTAACAAAACTAATAAAAAATATTTGCTTTAGATAAACAGACCACTCAACACGCATGCAATATATACATACTTTCATAAGATTAAATGTATATAAAGTAAATAATACTTATTATAAGACATAATATTCCAGAAATGCCTACAATAGTGCATTTTATATTCAATAACATATGATCACTGAAGATATATTAATAATAATAATATATTAAATCTAAGGACTTCATAAACAAATGTGAATATAAATTCCATACTAGTGGTTTAAAGTTAAGTTTAATTTAGGATCAAATTATATCATATATTTCAGAAGAAAAATGTGTTACAAATAGGTGATGAATTTCAGCTGGCTGCATAAACACCATGACCAACAGACTGCCATTTGCTGCTAGATGACGGACTTCTTTCAGTATCTCAATGACACGATCGCTAACAGTTGAATTGCTTTGGATATAACTTCATATTTTTTTCTGTTGGTATGAAGAAAGCCAATGATGTTCTTAACAACAAAAATTCAAGATATTGTAGGTGCGTCATATTGTGATTTATTTAAATAGTATTAAAAATATATTAAAATTGGCCGTTAATCACAATATAAGATAATTAAAAGATTAAAATATCATTTTTTTTAATATCATTTTTTTATCAAACTTATAAACAAAAAATATGCCTTAATGATAATAATATTTTACTTAACAACCCCATTTTTAATGCACTCCAGT